TCTGTGTTTCCTACAGACTAACTCGATTTGTAATCAAACGCGCACTGGAAGGATCTAAATTTTTAATCTAGTTCCGTCAAATCTAGAGGTAACATCTCTCCACTGAAATCACGCTTATTAGCTTATCTCCACGTTACCATGACAAAATAGGTTGAGTCTAATGTTTGAGTAGGGTCTCGATTTAAATTAAAGCATGACCAACGATAAGAGCCTTCAAACGACTATGTTGCTGTATACACACAAACAAATATTTATACCACACCACGTTACCGATTATGGGCCTCAGACCTCGAGCGTTGTGAGAGGTTGGCCTGTTATCGGCCGAATGTCAAGTGGTATAACGGACTTCACCAGTCAAGATCAAGAAATGAAGCATTCCCTTTGGCCGAAAGCTTTCGGGTGCGGTACAATATAAGCAGAACAAAATATCAGTATCACTCGGGGTTCCAGGTCAGCCAAATTTCTCGGGGTACATGTGTTTTTTTGCGTCCCTGATTCGGTTTTATACCACCCGCCTCCGAGGGACGCATTAAACCACATGTACCCATAGTGATACTGCTACAACGAATTTATCTTACCGACATGTTTTATTATGACATTGTATAAGAATTAAAACTAATTCAAAATTGATCGAAAACAGCTGTTATGTTAAGCTGAGGTTAATTTGTATTATGTCACGTGACTTTCATTGAGACGGAAAAAGCGTGCGGACTTTTGCTTCGGAGCGGGGTATAAGGGATTTATTCCCACTACCAGAAATCCACCTGCTAATTGGAGCGAATGTTGCAGGGTTGAGTTCTAAACCATACGGTAATATTTTGACGTTACAAGGTTCTGCAGACTCTCTCGTGTTCCAGATATGTGGCATACAGCTCTTTACACCCTGTGTTCTGTCCGGATTATATACCTCCCATACTAAATATGGTAGCTGGGCGAGTGACAGTGACGTGTAAGCTGCTAGAGGTGAGGCTGTATGGGATTGAACCTCGCGTTATATAGCGACGCGCGCGCGGTGTGTGTGTCTGTCTATCTGTCTGTCCGTATGTGTCTGTGGCTGTATTTTGGCTGCTTGTATTAGTAAACTCAGATACAGTATACTGACTCCGTACCGACCAGTCCTTGTTTTCTCCCCGAAATGCTTAGCGCCAGGCATAGTAACAACAAGTACCATCTTTTAACGTATTTTTGTATAATGCGGTCGGGGATCGAACCATTGACCTTCCGCTCTCCAGGCAGACGGTATATCCACGTCCTCAAACAACAAGGTAACACATAAAGAACACGTGAACACCTCCAAAGATGTGTCGGGTCAAACGACACAAAACCATGTTCTTGGAATGCCCCTGAATACCTCCCAGCGCGAAGAAATGCCAGAATCGGTACTTATGTAAATATACAATTATCCCCGAGAGATGGAAATTAGGATTCATAACTTGACGACCTGGGTCCACTTCCGAAAAACATTACGAATGTCGTAAATAATTTAGGACATGGGTGCTAAGATTGCTTTGTGGAAAGGGCCCAAATGATGTTACATGTCCACACATCTACAAATAATTACGAGTGGTAGGCCTCGACAAACAAAACTTGTTATTCCCAAAGTGTGGTAATAATGGCAGAATAATAAAGGATGTTAGAAATGATTAATTGATTGTGCTGGTTCCGCGGAGTTATATTATATTACAGATGTTCGTGGAGATGCAGATGTTGGTTTAGTAGGACCCGTCAGCTATAAACAGAACCAAGAACATCATGTTAACGTCTACAACTCGCTTCATGACAAGAATGTCCACACTAATTCGTGATACACACACGTCTGTTATAGACTCTTTATTTATCATACCTGTATGCAAGTAAGGAATAGGTGTATTGTGATGATGAAGTGTTTTGTTTGTCGATAACTGCGTGGAGAAGTTACCAGCGTTGATATAACGTCACCCATCTCACCGTGACGCCATTAGACGTCACGTCAATAATCATATCCGAATTACGTCAATAATAGTTTCTGTCTTACGCGAACAATAATAGATAGGGCATGGTGCCATCATTTGTTGTATCTTACCAGAAAGCCAGTTGCATTACGCCATCATGGATACAGGTTGTGATAGGCGACTCTTTGAACAGTTTTTCAGTTATATCAAGGCGTGTCGGGTTAGTTTTGGAGTAAAGCCCTAGGCAGAGATTCTATATCTCCCTGCCCTAAGTGGTGCAGGTCTCAGACGTTTACCAAGTTGGTGAAAGCCACAAGTACGGATATCGTGCTGACAACAGGCGAACTGATATAAGAACCCACGATCATTGGATTCTGGCGCTCCCAAGGGACGTAACTCAACACTGCGAATATAGGCGCCATGCACCACTGGGCCACCCGTGTCCAATGATACATGCAGGTTATCATGTCAAATTGTGACGTCATGTAACAGTGATAGCCGCATTACGTCAACAAGTGCTTCAAATAGATTTTATAAACTTCCATATCTTGATATAATTACATGTTCTGATGGGTAATCTCTTTAGGACCTAAGCTGCATATACATGTGCACTCCAGCACAGAGAAAAGGAACCTGCATCAATAAAAACAAAACAAAAAATCTTATGTTGTTTTGCTAAAATGATCAACTGGCACGCATGAGTGTAAGGACATTTCTGCTGCCTGGATTACATAACAGTTGCGAGTCGGTATGTAGATCTCGCCCTTCTACAAAGCCAGATAAATCATGAAAAATACATGATCGCAATTGCTTTAGTTTTGCGCCAGCCAAAAAAATCGAAAAACGTTTTTTCTTTGCATGATTCGATTTAGGAGCCAATCTCTGTGGACGTATGTGCCTTCTTCTGATGTATTACGTCTGGTAGGCGTTCCCCACTTTTCATTTGAACATTAGATCGCCTAAGGACGTCTAAAACGTCCTAAATGAATTGACAACGCCACGTGGTAGCCAGTGCATGATCCCGTGTACGACGTGTGGGAAAATATATGAGGAAGAAATAATATAAGGCAGGTCAGAACCTTGTATCTGTCAAAAGAGGCTGATGCTAATGTAACAAAAAAAACGATTTTTCGTTTCTTCGACTTGTTTTTCCGCTTTGGTTACAAGTATGGCACTGGTGGCCCATTCGTCAAAGGCGCCACAATTCGTTGTTGCGAGTTGCTCCCCTTATTGTCCTCCTATTATCGTGGGTTCCAATCACGGTTAGACCTGATTGTCTTGGTTTGTCAGTACCATGTCCGTGCCCGTGGGTTTCATAAGTGGTACATGCCTATGCCGGCACCACGCTCCGTAATATGAAATGTAATCCCAAGGGGCGTTAAACCAAACTCACTCACTCACTCCAATAAGCATCCTACCCTGGCATGGGGGCGGGGGGGGGGGGGGGGGGGGGGGGGGGGGTGTTGAACCCCGGTTCGCCCGGATAATGGTTCTAGGTTTGTCAGCACCATACCCGCGCTCGTGGGTTTTTACCGAAGTGGTAAACGTCTGAGACCTGCATCACTTCGGGCTTTTTCCCACATTAAGTTGACACGTCGCGATATAACTGGAATACTGTTAAAGGCGGCGTTAAATCCATCTCACTCACTCACTCTCACTGGTAGTAGTAGTGGTGGTGGTAGTGTTGTTGTTGGTGGTAGTGGTGATGGTGGTGTGGTATTGGCGGTATTGGTAGTGGTGGTAGTAGTAGTGGTGGTGGTGGTGGTAGTGTTGTTGTTGTTGTTGTTGTTGTGGTGGTGGTGGTGGTGGTGGTGGTGGTTGTATTGTTGTTGTTGGTGGTGGTGGTATTGTTGTTGGTGATGGTGGTAGTGGCGGTATTGATGGTGGCAGTAGTAGTAGTGGTGGTGGTATTGTTGTTGGTGGTGGTGGTGATGATTGTGGAGGTGATAGGGAGGGTATTGATGATGATAGTGGTGGTATTGATTGTGGAGGTGGTGGTAGTGGTGGTGGGGGTGGTGATGGTGGTGGTGATGACGGTGGTGGTTTTGTTTTTGTTGTTGGTGGTGGTGGTGATAGTGGTGGTAGTAGTGGAAGTACGTGTTGTTGTTGTTGTTGTTGGTGGTGGTGGTGGTGGTGGTGGTGGTGGTGGTGATGGTATTGATGGTGGTGGTAGTATTGTTGTTGTTGTGGTGGTGGTTGTAGTGGTGATAGTGGTGGTTGTAGTGGTGCTGTTGTTGATGTTGTTGGTGGTGGTGATAGTAGTTGTATTGAAGGTGTTGGTAGTGTTGTTGTTGTTGTTGGTGGTGGTGGTGGTGGTGGTGATGGTATTGATGGTGGTGGTAGTATTGTTGTTGTGGTGGTGGTGGTGGTTGTAGTGGTGATAGTGGTGGTTGTAGTGGTGCTGTTGTTGATGTTGTTGGTGGTGGTGATAGTAGTTGTATTGAAGGTGTTGGTAGTGTTGTTGTTGGTGGTGGTGGTGGTGATAGTAGTGGTATTGATGGTGGTGGTAGTGTTGGTGGTGGTGGTCGTGATAGTGGTGGTATTGATGATGGTGGTAGTGTTGTTGGTGGTGGTGGTGTTGATAGTGGTGGTAGTAGTGGTAGTGTTGTTATTGTTGTTGGTGGTGGTGTTGTTGGTGGTGGTGGTGATAGTGGTGAAAGTGGTGGTGGTATTGATGGTGGTGGCGTTATTGGTGATGATAGTGGTGGTAGTGTTGTTATTGTTGTTGTTGTTGGCGGTGGTGGTGGTGGTGGTGGAGGTGGTGGTGGTGAATGAAGGACGGGAAAATGAAGAAAGGGTCCAAGGTATTTATCAAACAAGAACGCAGCTATCATACACATCCTCTTGGGGACCCCGTCTACAATGACCAGATCCTCCCAAATGCTTCCACATAGCTGCGATCGGGTGTTCAGGGCTTGGTGACTTGTTCGTCGTGTGCAATAATACCCCGACGGCATGGAACTTTGTTCATAACATCAACCATTGATTTTCTCGTCCAGACTAGAACTAATGCCGCCGCGATAGACCTGGAATATTTCTGACTGTTGCGTAAAATAACAAAGACTGAAGTCATATGTCTTGAGGCCATGTTTATTTTTATATGTTCACAAAACTTAGACTCAGTACTTAAACCTTCCCTAGACAACAATTATTAGACACGTTATTAATTTTTCTGCCGCTGTCAGCAAGAAACAACGTAAATTGTCAATGTAGCAGAAGACATGTTTAAGAATCCTCCTACTAAATTCAAGAACAGTTTTGTTTCGTTTCCAAATATCCGAATCTCGTTAACACTGGGTTTCATAGCGGTAAAACCTGCCACCTCAAAAGAAACATTTTACAGAGTTAGTGTCTGGGTTCTTGCATGTACATTTATCATATGTTTTCCCACCGCTGGTGATCGGAGCAAACCCGTCCGCAGGGATACACTTGGTGGAAACTCCATTTGAGAAAGCACATTCTGGAAGAGAAAGGAGATGTTTTAGACTTGTATACAGTGGAACCTCGTTAGTCCGGACACCGTTAATCCGGAAAAGCGTTAAAAACTTATAAAATACACCAACGATTCGTTAATCCGGACATTTGTTAATCCGGATGATTTCATTTGGAGTCAACCGTCCGGATGAACCGGGTTTTACTGTTTTTAAATAGCGTTAGCGAAACAGCTTGTCCTAAACCTGCACGGGAACATCGCAGTGTGTTTAGTGTAAAGTTTTAGCTTTTAGTTATATAAGATTTGATTTACACAGTGTATGCATTTCGTAATCGAACCTGGGACTTCGGCGTGAGAGACACTGCTGTAACCATTGTACTACCCCAATATCCTACTCTACAGAGCATCGCCAGCAAGTCGGTGAGGTTGGTTATGCTATGATCACTAAACACGCCTCACAAACTCCATCTCATCCTGCGCTGGCAGGAATCGATAGCGGAACTTGTTTCCACTGTCACAACAGTATATCGTTGACTACCCAACCGTTAATCACGGAAACAGGGCGGAGTAGCTTCCGATGATGGAATTGTCAAAATTTTGCACACGCGCTTACGCTTTATTTATCGTATACGAATTACACTTTAGGCCACAGAAATTTATTATTTGTTCTTCGGATCATTGCTTTTTTCAAAGAGTGGGAAAATTGCATGTTTGAAATATCGTATAAGAAGACTGTAGTTGTCGTAAGAGTGAGTGAGTGAGTGAGTATAGTTTTACGCTGCTTTTAGCAATATTCCAGCAACATCAAGACAGAGGGCGCCATAGATTGGCTTCACACATTGATTGTCTTAAGAGGCGACTAACGGGATCGGGTGGTCAGGCTCGCTAAAATGGTTGATGCATGTAATCGCATCCCAATTGCGGAGATCGATGCTCATGATGTCAATCACTGAATTGTCTGGTCCAGACTCGATTATTTACAGACTGCCGTCATATAGCTGGAATATTGCTGAGAGCGCTGTTAAACAACAAACAAACAAACAAAAACGTCGCTTTGAATGAGAAATAGTATTACTGTTACATCACAGCGTGTCAGCTTTCTGTGAGAGGACGAAAACCTCTGATGAAACCCACGAGCAGGTGTATGGAGCTGTCAAACCTAGTACCATAATGTTAGGGAATCAAACTAAAGCCATGCCCAAGGAGCGCAACTTTGCTCAGCGATATACACGGCCACACGTCTCTCCTTAGATGTAGTGTATTTCCCATCTGTTTAGACAAAGCAAAGAGTTACATGGTGTTCTGTTTTTCGAGCCAATTGTATTCAAGGTGACTAGTTTAATCTATGCATTAAGGCTATTCCATGGAACAAACAGTTGATGTGACGTGGCCTTGTCCGAACTGCCAAGGTCAGATAACAACGTACGTTTCTTCTCCACTTTATCCATCTTGTAGGTGGCGCTGTTGCAAATAGCTGTTCCACACCTGTACGGAGCCGTCTCCCCAGGCGCCACACAGGCTCCGTTGTCACCAATACAGGCTGTGGATGATAGTTAGAATAAATCAGTATGCCAGAGTAAAGACGGCAAGTTACTCATTGACAAAATACAACAAAACATATGTTTGGCTTGAGATTTTGTTTTGAAAGGCGTTTGAAGAACGTCTGGCGTCTGGCAGTAGAGCATAAAACTGGGCAAGGACTGGACTGAGAGTCAGGATACTGTGACTGAGTGGGGTATCCATGTTAAACTGCGACTTGGTATCTCAGTGGACTAGCACTATAAAACCGACAGCAGTACAATCGGTCACACACACACACACACACACACACACACACACACACACACACACACACACACACACATCGCTACATAAAAGAATAATCTTGAACGCGACGTTAAACCATTATTTCACCTCGCCCATCTCGCTCATCGATCCTGATTGTACGTACGCTTCACACACTTAATACATTTCTCCTCTCATGTTCTCATAATGACGAGCGGCACTGTGACTGGTGTATCCCATTCATTATACAGAGAATAACATAAAGTTTGTCATAAAATTTTAAGATGCAGTTAAACTATAAAATGTCACATCTGTGCAAAGCACATCTGCCTAACTCTCGCCACTCTCGCCACAAAACAGTGTGAACCTCAGATTAAAAGATACATACGTCATCCGCTGTTTTTGAAAGAAAACCTTCGCTTCTACCATTACATCACGCCTTATTTGACTGTTCGGGATGTCGTAAAAGTTAATGCCAAATAACCTACCACTTTATGTCATGCCATAAACTGTTCTTTGAATTTTGCGTCATTGAAAGTCTTGCAGGGATTTGACTCATGTGGTGTCTGGGGAGCACTTAAGGAGGTAAAACCCTCGATGCATTTTGAAACAAACGTGATGAGAAGCTTTGAACGGTTTCTGTCTGTCTTAGGACCCGAGTCAGACACCAGTGGAATTCAAAGGCAGCAAGAGCTGTACTTGGAACAGATCTAGCTGTCAAGGAAACCATAATACCATATTTCCACCTCCTGAAAAATGTCATTTCATATCTTCTCACCTTTGACTTATTCGTTATCCGCGTTAGAAGAATTCATGAAAAATAAATCATGATTTGTGCATATTTTGGATGTCCTGACAGCTTACAATAATTATGCTTTGTTCGAATTGAACAATCCTAACTGATGCCCCATATACATTGGTGCACATGTCTCAAGCGTTGAAGATTTATAACTCTATAACGACATACTCAATAATGTTACAGAATGTTACACAATTAGTTTGACTTGAGCTTGTCAGTTAGTGAAGCAGCAGGTATTGATCACCAGATTTCCTATAATAGACGTCGGACGTCCAATAGACGCCTAGGTAAACGCTTTCATAGTCAGCAGGAACCAATGGCCTACGGACAATGGTTCCAAACACACAATGTCCTACCCCGGAGATTGGTTCCTGGTATTGCAAGCAGGACTATAATTCTTTGTCCTCATTGTGTCCTCTTACAGACCCAGGAATTGATGTCTGGGAGATGTATTCCGATGTTATTGTTGTTAGACGGGAAGAATGAGAGAAACAAATTGGAAGAATAAAATACTCTGGGTCAAGTTATGACAGTAAATGAGCTGTTCCCATTTGAAACCTTCAGACATTGACGTTACTAATTTAATTAGGTGGAAGAAATAGACGCCGGTCAGTTTAACGTCGACCGTCGTGGTCAAGAGGACAGAGTGTCAAGTCGGAGAGCAGATAGTCGGTGGTTTGATCTCCTGGCCATATCATACCAAAATATGTAAAGGTGGTACTTTTTGTAACCCTGCGTGACGTTCGGTATTAAGAAAATGAACCAATGACTGGTCGGCTCGGAGTCAGTATACTGTGTCTGAGAATATCCGTGCACTATCACAGTGCGCTAGCACCGTAAAGTCCGGGCTAGAACAAGCAGCCTCACACACGTAATTATATGTAACGTGACGTTAAACCTCATTTCGCCAATACAGGTCAACACAGTAAGTATTAAAAACAAATGAGATATCTTTATATCACGGAAGGTTCTTTTGAAAAAGAACTTATCAATGACGCTTACGTACTTAATGGACAAGGAACCCGGTTTGACAATTACCATTACGTTCTGTGAAGATAACCAATCGTGAAACTGCTTAACAGCATATAGAAGTAGATATAAAAGATATACCATGGTTACACTTACTTTGTTCAAAGCTGACGCTTTGTGTGACGGAGTTGAAGTTGCACTTGACGCAGTATTTGGTGGTTCCGGCATCGAAACATTCCTTCTTGCTATTTGCCGTGATTTGACATTCTGGAAGTGAATGGTAAACGTCAGAATGTCAGCTGTTTTATGGTTCTAAAGGCGTCGTTTTGAACAGTTACCGTTACATCACCGCGTTACCCCTTGATGAGGACGTAACATACTAAGTGACGTTGGTCGTAGACGTTTACCAGTTTAGAGAAACACACGAGCGCCGGTATAATGCTCACAAGCTAATAATGATACTTATGGACAAGCTTGGATCAGCGGATCCTGGTTGAAAAGGGGCGTAATTCGCTTTGCATAGCTACGCGCCTCAGACTACTAAGTCATTCGTGAAATTAATATCCAGTTTATGGGAACACAATAGGTTTACTGTTAAAATATAAACATGTAACATATCAATAATATTATAAGCGTGGCGTTATTATTTTACATACAGAGACCGCCTCCGTGGTCCAGTGGGAGAGCGTCCTTATGACATTTCAGAAGTGTTACTTTTCTTCATCTACTTTATTAGAATGTCAATAAGTATTATTTAGAATAACCTCGAAACTTGAAATGACGGATTATCTAGATCTATCATTCGTGATAAATGCCAAACTTTCGATGTTGATACCATTCATTTACTCTGGACATTATCTGTATTTCCTCGACGGTCGTTTGCAATTCGACAGCCTCTGTGGTCTAGTGGTAGAGCGTCCGCCCGGAGAGCGGAAGGTCCGGGGTCCGATCCCCGTCCGCGTCATATCAAAAGACGTTAAAAGATGGTACTTGTTACCCTGTCTGGCGCTCGGCATTAAGGGACAAGGACTGGTCGTATCGGAGTTAGTATATTGTGTCTGACTGGGGTATTCACGTGCATGCACGTCGCTATATAAGTGTTATAATCTTGGCAGCGACATTAAACCCAATTTCACGAAACTGTCCGTTATGTACGTTTCCGACGTAAAACATCACATATGTCCCTCTGAATGACTTGTGTCAGTCTGCTCATACCGAGGATTTAGAAGCCTCGACGCTGATAAGAAACGTCACCCGATGCGACCTCCCAAGAACGGATTGCCAGTGAGGTATCGAATCGGAGTAAAAGATCTGACTTCAATGAGATTGGGGGATCGTAGATTGCAATTCAGCGCAGGTGGTTATGGCGTCTTTGATCACCGGGTCTTTCGTTCCCTTCATCGTGGTATAATTTGTTCGTTTCTTAACGCCGCACTCAGCAATATCCCAGCTATATGACGGCGGTCTGTAAATAATAGAGTCTGAACCAGACAATCCAGTGATTGGCATCATGAGCATCGATCTACGCATTTGGGATACGATGACATGCATCAACCAGGTCACCGAGCCTGACCACCCGATCCCGTTAGTCGCCTCTTACGACAAGAGCGGGTTGCTGTAGATCTATTCTAACCCGGATCTTCACGGGTATCGTGGTATGACATAAACTCGATACTTACGCGGTTTGCCCACGACGTAAAGGTTTGTGACGCCATTTCGTGTCTGGCAGATGCGGGTGTTGCAGTATATATCGATGGTGTCGTTGTAGGCCACGTCTTGCCCAGTGCTCACTCTACACACTGAAATTGAGACCGAAGTTTATGTACATGAATTTACTTGAAAGAATACTATTATACATACCAATGATATGTTGCATAATTTCGTCATAGGTATGTGTGCAGCGCTGTCTACTTTCTCGAATTTCTATACTTAGATCAGGAAGGAAACTGATTATTTTTTAGTTTGAGTAGAAAGTAGAAAAGCAAACATGACGGACCAACAATCAAATAGAAACAATCTATTGTATATAATATAATATTACTTGTATAGTTACTATTCAAAAGAAATTAAAGAACACCCGGATATTGCATATGTCATGACAGATTAATTCTAGTCAAATGAAAAAGTTCTTTTGAGAAGCATAATTTTAACCTTAATATGATAACATCATCTGCAGTTATTAGCGAAAGGGTAGCACCAATGGTAAACGAACGTGAAACTCACAAGAGTCTATGACAGTTTACGTCCAGGTAAAATATAAAACGATGAATCGAAGAAACATTATTACAGGTTAATGCGAATATGAAGGTCCATCCACATCGATATTCGAAGACTTACTTCTTGAAGTAGTGCTACTGCTTGATCCGGTTTGGCTGTTGCTGTTGCTGTTGCTGTTGGTCCCACATTGCTCTTTCTTCCCACCAACAGTCACAGACTCCCCAACTTTCAAACAGGTGCCAGTCAACGTAGATTTGCATCCTGTTTAAACAGGAAATTCTACATAAATGTCGAGAGAATAATATACACGTATATATCAAACTAGTCTTGGTCTTTAAAACGTATGTTTTACCTGTCTACCCAAAGGAGCAAATGGCCAATTTGAGACCTAAACTGATTTCTTTCTGAACACGTCATTTTTATGTGATGTTTTGACGATACGTCTACGGGACATTGGATGTTGAGTATAACTACTTTTTTTTGTCTTGACATATATCTATCGTTTTCTTATAATGAAATCTGCTTCGCCAGATCATCGAGTCTGAACATTCTCTGGCATTGTAGTTTTATATTCAAAAGACTCTGCAGAAATATAATTGATTTGTTTCTCTTGAAAATCATTTTATTTTGAAATAAGACTGACTGACTGACTGAGTATGGTTTTACGCCGCTTTTAGAAATATTCCAGCAATATCACGGCGGGGGACACCAGAAATGGGCTTCACACATTGTACCCATGTCGGGAATCGAACCCGGGTCTTCGGCGTGACGAGCGAACGCTGTAACCACTAGGCTACCCGACCGCCCCTTTGAAATAAGAGACAACGTCTTAAATAATATACAGAATTAAATGGCTTCAGTTATGACTTGCCTATGTCTTTTACCACCAGCTTGGCATCTGAATTGCATTCTCTGTTGACGCAGTTGTCGCTCATGTACATCTTGCCTTTCTCGATGCAATTCCCATTAAATGAACACACTGGAAATAACAATGAATTACTAAAAACAATAATAAAAACAACAATAACTGAATAAAGGAAAAAATTCAAATCGAATATTTTCAAAAGATTTTGTGTGTAAAATATTGCTTCATATGAAGATCAAACTATACTACTCAAAAGAAGTTGAGGATTCCGATTCTTTCATATTACTAGAGTTAATCTGTCACGCCATGATTTACAACCCTAATAGATAGATACACCTGCTTTAGACACTTCATTGGGTTTTTACAAATTTTAATGGCGGTTACGTAAACAAAACAAAACGAAATAATAACGATATGTTTGCCTAGATACGCGGTCAAAAATTATCAGTTATAGCCTTAAATGTACGAGTGTATGATGCTGTACTTACATTCTTGAATCTTCGCAGGCTTGGCATACTTGTCTCCTGGCGCCAGCTTACATTGGTATTTGTCACAGTTGATGTCAAACGTCTCATTCAACTTCTTGCAGCTGTCTCCAACCTTGCAACCTGGACATAGAAAGACAACAGTAAAACCGCGGTAGGCCGCACACAATTAATCCGGAAGTTCCGCTTTCCGTTTGATGCACTGTTGGGAACGTCTACGTATTACATTAAACAGATAAGTATCAAGATTCGTTAATCGGGACATTTGTTATTTTAGATGATTTCACTGGGAACGGTATCGTCTGGAAAAACTAGGTTTTACTGTAGAGCTGTCCAGCACTGGCGGACAATGTACTGGGGGGTCCGGGCTGGGTTAGGTGCACAATGACCAATGCTTGTTGTCAGAGGTGACTAAATGGATCGGGTTCTTACTGCGGTGCCTGTCATCCGAAGTCGACTTTCAACTGCATTTAGTCTATATGACGTCGATATTACTCTACTGAACAAATATATACGTATCCTGATTAAACAAATAATATTTTAACAAAGAAATACGAGAGGGTAATACATATTTATTGGAACCAAACTCTGCACAACACCATCCTCGTTGTCAAGAGTACAATGTACGCTTTCGAATTCCTCGAGACATTTTTAAGTTCGCCTTTGACAGACCTTTCTCTGTTCATATTACACATAGGGTTCTAAATTACTGATCTTTTAGATAATGGGTCGATTGATCATCGATAATCCAGGGTATTATATCCCTGTTCCAGCTGCCGTCAAACGTTTTTCCATTCGAATGAGACGACGTTTCATATCCGTCAAATCAAATGTACTATGCGCGAGGGAAATACTGATAAGGAAGATGGTGACATTATATCACAAACAAGGCTATAGTAGCGAATGGGACCAGGATGGTAATCAAAATAGAATGGAGATATAATGCCCTAGATAATCGAGGATGGGTCGACTATGTTAGAAGGGAATATACTGACCATATTGAAGTCTAGATTTGGCATTTGGAAGAACATGAAGACTCGAAACATTTTGGGACAATAACAATAACGAAGACCTCATATCTTTACTGACCATATTCTTTGATGAACGTTTGGAGAGTCTTGCGGCCGTTGACCATTTCTTCCTCGCATACCAGCTCGTGGCAGTAGTACTGCATGGAGTCACCTAGGGGGAGGTCCTTGTCCCCCACAATGCACATATCTGGAGTAGAAGGGTTGGCATAAAGTACTACTCATCGATCCCCTATATAGCCTTAGTGGTCTTCATTCAGGTTATGAAACATTATTATGAATAATAATAATAATAATAATAATAATAACTAGACAGGATCACCCAATCCCTCTTTGATGCATTTTTTATTTTATCAATACCTTGTCTATCACTCTCAGTCTGTCAACTACATGCTCTATCACTCAGTATATAGGCACTCTCTCAAGCTCTCAGTCTATCACCCATTCACCCAATCTATCATTCACTCACTCACTCACTCGCACATTCAGTTTCATTTACTCTTATACGTGGTATCATTTTCGCACTCACTCACTCACTCACTCACAAACGCACACTCTCGCACCTACTCACACACGCTCAGTCGCTAACTAGTCCTTATGTTGTTTGGGTAGTTCGACTTAAACTATACCTTTTCCAGTGCACCTGTATCGTTGGCCATTGATCTCCTTCTTCTCGCCTTCCTTCAGGCATGTGCTGTCAGGAAGAAGACACTCTAAAACAAATCAGTTAATCATTCAGTAAATTACACTCGATGTATCTATCAGTAAATCTATCACCACACACACACACACACACACACACACACACACACACACACACACACACACACACACATTTACGAATGCAATAATATAAAAATGAACACATAGACACATGTCCAATTGACGTCATTGATTATTTAATCCGTTCACTTTCCAAATGTTTGCATTATATTTAAATTAGTTTTTCATTACACCAAATTATTCTAAGATTAGTTGAACCAAGCCTGTTTTATCCGAAAAAAGCACAAAAACGCTGCAACAGTTTCAGCCAAATCTAGTTTATAGGGAATGTATACATGGTGAGAAGGGGTGATATTTTCGTAAGCTTTTGCTTCAAGTTTTAGCGTCACTCTAATACGATAGATCAGCGGAAAGTCGCTGTGCATAGGGAGCCCTGGCGCCCAGCACTGACGTGAGCTGTTGATCTACCACCGCGCCCTTTGACGTGAGCCGTTGATCTACCACCGCGGGATCCCTGAGATGTGAGCGAGACAGATCTAGCCGAAGTGTTAAGCCCTTCTGTTGTGAACAAGAGGCTTGCTTTACGATCGGCTTAGTTTTAACCTACAAAATTTATATACTGTGATGATAAGTAACTCTGGATAACGGAGCAGCAATAAATTGATTTAAATTACATGATAAAGTTTAGTGTGACCATTTATCGATAAAACGTTAATACGTCTCAGAAATGTATTTCCATGTTGTCAACAAATACATGTGTTAAAATCAATAGATGCTATGTCGTCCCAGTGAGTAACGTTGTTTTTTTATTCAACTCACTCACTCACTCAAGTACGAGAAGTTCAACTTACGTTGTATGTGTTTTTATCGCTACACATTCCATGTAACGAATTGATTCTGGGCCAGATAAACAAATGATTGATATTATGAGCAAGGATCCAAGCCGTCGAGATCCTTGTACGAGAAGCGTAGATGGAACTTTGTTTCTTGGAGCGGAGGGTTAATTGCTTATATATGTATTTTCCATTTGATGAAAATCCATTTGAAACAGAGTAATATGTATAAACATTCTGGGAAAATATCAGGTAATCGAAACATAAGCATGTTCGTCGGCTCCTTGTGAACACTCCCATCGTTTGTAAACGTGACTTAAACGGAAACAACTAAGTGTTTGTTAACGTTCGTAGAAGTGAATCATTTCAGTGTTTGTTAACGGTACTAAAAGTGAATCATCTCAGTGTTTGTTAACGGTACTAAAAGTGAATCATCTCAATGTTTGTTCACGGTACTAAAAGTGAATCATCTCAGTGTTTGTTAACGATACTAAAAGTGAATCATCTCAGTGTTTGTTAACTGTCGAAACAGTGAATCACCTCAGTGTTTGTGAACGGCACTGAAAGTAAATGATCTCAATGTTTGTCAACGCGCCTAGCAGTGAATCATATTATTGCCTCGCAGTCACAATATCAACGTACATTTTGCAATTACAGGAATACTTTCAAGACAAATGGAAACAGTAAGTAAACAGGAATACCGTATTTGGGGTTTTCATCAAACAAACGCTCATATCTCACAACGCTTTAAGACAAAATATCTGTATTCTAAAAGGGGCGGTTGGTTAGCCTTGTGGTTAAAGCTTTTGCTCGTCACTCCGCAGATCCGAGATCGATTCCCCACATGGGTACACTGTGTGAAGCCCATTTCTGGGCCCCCCGCCGTGATATTGCTGGAATATTGCTAAAAGCGGCGTAAAACCATACTCACTCACTCACTCACTCACTAATGGCAATCAACCAACTAACGCCGTGGGGATTCAGGGTTAGAAAGTGTCCCCAGCAACCTATGCTGGTCCTAATAGTCGACCAAATGGATCGGGTGGTCAGGTTCTGTGACTTGGCTGATAACGTACAATCATACCCCGACGGCACTGATCGTTACTCACAATATCGATGAATACAAAATGTAGATTGTCTGGTCCAGACCCGATTATTTACAGGCCGCCGTCATATAGCTGGAATATCGCAGAGTGCGCGTTAAACAACAAACAAACAAACAAGCAATCAAGAAAGTTAGTAGCAATCTTGAAGTCCACGATAAGGGCTTACGCAGAGGTTGGCCCGGAGCCTTGTCAATCTTCAGCGTCCTGGTGCTGTTTTCAAAGGTGCACTTCATCCTGTAGCATCCCAACACAGGACTCTCCTCCTCCTGGTTCACCTGCAGACATTCCCCGTTGGACATCTTGCAAGCTGGGGGGAACAATATTATGGAAGCCTTTAAGGGCCATTTGTTTTTGTTTTTTTTCTTAAAATTTTAGGATACTAAGTTGACATTTCAAGTTATGATCTTAAAACTTCAACTTTTTATTTTGAAATTTCAAGATCATTATCTTGAAATTTCAACATAACATCCTGAAATTTTAAGAATATTTTTTTCAAAAATCGCCCTAATATACGGAAGCTTTTTAGGGCCATTTGTTTTATTAGGTTTTTTTCTTGAAATTTCAAGATACGTTCTAAGTTGAAATTTCAAGATAAAATTGACGATCATCTCATCATGCAAAGTAAACCAACAACAATAAAAAACACAAGCATTCATATGTGTTCGCGAACAACACGTATCACCATTATTTGACAGTCATTCATAAAAACATGCTTATGGTAGAGTCAGAAATGTACCATGGATTCTGCTTTCAGCAGACATTTCTTATGACTGGTAAATGTTTTTGCCGCTATTAATTATCACATTTAGCTAGGAAACCATATTATTAACACTGCAGTCACACAGGTACTCACAATAATCAATTTTCCCGTCTGGCCTGCAAACGGCGCATATCTTGTCGTTGGCGTACGAGAAAGGACCGACTGGGTAGCATTCCTTGTGGCAGCGACACGCTGTAACAAAGTAACACTGGCTTCATTATAGATCTTATTCCACCTGAATAATACATTTTTGTATGAAATCATAAAATGGTGGCAAGGGGTGGCCCAGTAGTCAAGCTGTGGTCAAAGTTGTTCGAATCTCCGATCTCCCCTATTATGAACCTTGTTGTCTCAACCATTTCCGTATCGAGGCTTTCAACAAAGTGTTGTAACGATTACGATGTGTCCCATTGATGGCTTTCTCTCATGTTAGGATGCTGGGCCGTGATGTAACTGTTTGTTTGCACTCAGCGATATTCCAGTGATGTACATAATTGAGTCTGGACCAGACAATCCAGTGATTGATATCAGCTGACGTGAAATGCCTCAAGCGAGTGCAGGTATCAGACGTTTACCACTTTGGCGAAACCCACGAGCACGGGTATGGTGCTGACAAACCTAGAAGCGGCGTTAAATCCAACTCACTCGCTGCACGTGAGAGTAGATATATCCAGTGTGATAACGTTCGATATTTGCAACATGTGAATTTTAGCGCTTCTCGTTGTTGTCAGTGGAAGCGATATGACCTCACATTGACTAGGGAGAATAATACGATGTGACGTCATCCACTGATCATGACGTCACAAATTGATAACATTACGTCACGAATTAACAACATTTAACGTAAAAAAGACCAATAGGCTGACAGAATAGGGTTGACAAGTGTTTCTTCGTCTACTTTATAAGAATGTCAATAAGTAATATTTAGAAAAACCTCGAAACTCGGAATGACGTATTATCTGGATCTATCGTTCGTGAAAAATGCCAAAATTTCTGTATTTCGTATTTCCTCGACGGTCGTTTGCTATCCTCTCATTATCACAATACGTTACGTGATACTATCACCGATAAGGAGTTGTCATATATGCTACCATTCTGCATCTTCCCGAGGCAAGAGAGTTAACTGACTATAAAAGTCCAGTCCAGGCTGGGCTAACGAGTCTATGCATAGTCCAATCAAAATCGCGCACCGAAATCGAAATCCGGTTCGTAAACTGTCGTGCAGATTTCGGTCGATTGCAGGATTTGCAAAGCATGTTCACCGCCAACTCGTTGTCAGCAGATATTTTCCAAATCTTTTCATGTTTTTAATCAAGGTGCTCACGTGATTTGATGCATTTCGCGATGTAAGACCCGTTTTGTCACAATATAGATCTTGATTATCGATCAGATCGTCCTGACCGGGCGCCACCATTTTGTGTGAAGTAAACCAGTGATACGAGAGGTGGAATCTGATTGGTCCATATAAGAGGCTTAGAAGGGACATAACTGGTAATAGCCACTGGTGGCGCTACGATCGAGCCCAGTAATTCCAGCCTATTTCGGCAAGGGTTGAAACTGGACTTTTGAAGTCAGTTAATTCTCTTGCCTCGGAGAGGTGCCATTCTGTAACAGTGCAGTGTCTACGGTAACTACTGAGACTGCCATGCGAGCTGGATTACATTGGAACAGTAATTATGTGGGTTGGCTACGAGCTGGATGGAGTTCACTCACGTGTGGGTTGGTCTGCGTCCTCTATGAACCTCATGCCGTTGGCCTGGCGGACGCACAGCATGGTCTTACAGTTGAGTCGGATTGTCTCCCCTTCGTTGTAACATTTGTCCTGGTGCTTGCAGCCTGCCAACAGAACAACCTGTATCAACATCTGCGCCTCTCTCTCTCTCTCTCTCTCTCTCTCTCTCTCTCTCTCTCTCTCTCTCTCTCTCTACTACTACTACTACTACTACTACTCGATAAGCTGGGAATTACATTCAGATTGCTTTAAGACGTCGAATTTGTGGTAACGTTACCTTCTTCAAGACGGGTTTCATTTCCCTCTGCGACACAGGTGAGACATCGACTCTTGTCGACCATCTCCCCCGCTTTGTAACACTTGCCCCCGAGGCCACATTCTAAACACAAACAAAATCAATTAAACTAAGTTACGAATCAGTCAACGTCAAGGGTTGGCAGAAACCAGAAGGAAAATTGATACATGTTTTACTAATTAATCTGAAACAGGGCTAAACAAATCGGCAGTAAGCGTAATTACCTAGGGGAGTCCACGTAAAACCCCGAAATCCACGGGAAACTGGCAATGGTTACCCGAAGCAAGGAATAAGTGTATGTACCTGCTGTTAGCCGTTTGATGCCGTATTTCGTGCACTGAAAGGTGTTGCAGTCGATAGTTTTGTTCGTGTCTTCAGCAAACGATTCACCGTTGACTTTACAAATGACTTTCTCTGAAACAAAAATACAGGAAGTAAGACAGGTTTTACAGCATCGGTTATAAAAAGGGCTGTTGCAAAGTGTGAGATATCGGCATTCAGTAGTAGTAGTAGTAGTAGTAGTGGAAGTGGTGGTAGTAGAAGCAGCAATAGTAGTAGTAGTGGATGTGGTGGTAGTAGTAGTAGTAGTAGTGGTGGTAGTAGTAGTAGCAGTGGAAGTGATGGTAGTAGTAGTAGTAGTAGTAGTAGTAGCAGCAGTAGTACTGGTGGTAGTAGAAGTAGCAGTGGAAGTGGTAGTAGTAGTAGTAGGAGTAGTAGTAGTAGAAGAAGTAGTGGTAGTAGTAGTAGTAGTAGTAGTGGAAGTGGTAGTAGTAGTAGTAGTAGTAGTAGTAGTACTGGTTGTAGTAGTAGAAGTAGTGGTAGTAGTAGTAGTAGTAGTAGTAGTAGTAGTAGTAGTAGTAGTGGAAGTGGTGGTAGTAGTAGTAGTAGTAGTAGTACTGGTTGTAGTAGTAGAAGTAGTAGTATTAGTAGTAGAAGTGGTTGCACTAGTAGTAGTAGTATCGGTAGTGGAAATAGAAGTAGTAGTAGTAGCAATATTAGTAGTAGTGGGAGTGATAGCAGCAGTAGTAGTAGTAGTAGTAGTAGTAGTAGTGGAAGTAGTTGTTGTAGTAGTAATAATAGTAGTAATAATAGTAGTAGTAGTAGTAGTAGTAGCAATATTAGTAGTAGTGGAAGTGATAGCAGCAGTAGTAGTAGTAGTAGCAGTAGTAGTAGTTGAAGTAGTTGTAGTAGTAGTAGTAGTAGTAGTAGTTGTAGTCGTAGTCGTAGTAGTAGTTGTTGTAGTAGAAGAAGTAGTAGTAGTAGTAGTAGCAGTAGTAGTAGTGGAAGTAGTTGTAGTAGTAATAGTAGTAGTAGTAGTAGTAGTAATAGTAGTAGTAGTAGTAGTAGTAGTAGTAGTAGTAGTAATAGTTTTAGTAGTATACTCACTCTCAGAAGCGCCTATCGTTGAGTCCTCACAAGTGTACTTCTTGCCATCGGGGCAGTTGACAGACTCTCCGGGGCGCAGGCACTTGCCGCACTGGTTACAGGCTGTGGGAGACACAGAAAACAGCGGGTTAGTCAGGGTGGTGCAACAGGCTTGTTACATGTTCAAACATACAGTACGATAGGTAAGGGACAAGATTTGTATTTGTATTACAAAATAACAACTAGATGCGATTGATATAATGATTCACTGGCGGGGATCGATCCTCGAGAAAGCGAAGAGTGGTTCAGGCCCGATTACAAACCGAAATACACGCACGTGTATGCACGTAACGCACGCACGCATGCACATACTCTCATGCGATTACATGTACGTACACTGACACATGCGTTTAGAATATGTTGATATCCTTTAAAATAACTTTGCAAGCATGACACAATAATGGGTTAACAAATTAATTCGTCGCTTCACACTTTATCATATCTGTAACATATCAAAAGCGTAGCACAAATAGGTTACATGTTCCTTATGCCTTAAGTGCCATGAAGGCTTTCCAAAAGTACGACCAGGATAAACGCGGCAATTGTTGTGATTTTACTCCTCTTCAGCAACTGTGTACCAATGTCACGAAGGGACGCAAAGAATTGTTCGCGGGAATCGTACCCGAGTTTGGGCGAAACGTATAGATGCAGCATCTACATCTACTCACCTACGCTGGGCGGGCCTCCTGTCTGGTGGTCGCAGTAGTAACAGAACCCCTCCCTCACTGACGTAGTGTTGTACACCACACAGTCTTGGGGTGACACTTGGCAGCTGGCTGCAAAGACAATGTTAGAACGATGTGAGTGAGTGGGTGAGTTGGGTTTAACGCCGCTTTTAACAGTATTCCAGTTATATCGCTTCGTGTCAGCTTAATGTGGGAGGAAAGTCCGAAGTGATGCAAGTCTCAGACGTTTACCACGTTTAGCACGGGTATGGTGCTGACAAACCAAGAAACATAATCGGGGCGAACCGGGATTCGAACTCACAATCATAGGTTTCTGGCGTGCCCAAGGGACGCAACTCTGTGTGTGATTGCAGCTTAAAGGACATATGAAATCAGTAGTGTATTTCATCTTGGAATTATCAGAAATTATGTACGAGATAACAAATTGCTTTTTCAGATTTGCCTTTGTTATCGTGCATTCCTTGCCCGAAGCCGACGAACGTACTTCCGCGTATCAAATACTTCCTAACACTGGCAATTCTGTAAACGGATAATGACATTTCAAATGCACGTTTTCGGAAGTACATACTCTCTTCTCTCAAATTCATTTTATAATGAAACAATATTTTTTCATACCACTTTTTTCAAATGCGAAAACATGACACTTATCAAGAAAACTATTCAGATTTCAGGGGTTCGAATCCTGCTTAAAAACATTTTTTTATCTTATAAACTGCACTTAAGAGTCTAGGTTTTACCTGCGAAAAAGAAGGTATTGCCGCTTAAATACTGTTATGAGTAAAACCTTCATGTATCCTGAATCCTGAATCCTCTGTGGAAATACAGCGAAACCTCGTGATTCCGGACCCTGCTAGTTCGGAGATTAATCGGATAATTACTTGTTGTGGATTTCTTTAAATCATTAGAAACAAACCTGAATCGAGAGGTGGAATGCAGGGGTGCGCAACCCCATATAAAACATAAAAAAATCATATTTTGTCTCGTTTTCAACTAAATGAACATTTTTGGTCTATCTTTGGGCTTACAAATGCAAATTATATCTCGAATTATGTGCCATTTTATATATATACTAAGTATATAAAATGGCATATAATTCTGCATGTGTAGGCCAAAAGATAGACCAATAATTGTCATATATATATATCAAGTGTACCCACCACACACCAAAACGGTTGGCGCAGTGAATACGTTGCTCTGTGGTTTTAATAGTGCAGACCCCAGATATATATTCAGACGTTATATTTGGTACATTGAAGCGCACGTAGAATCCCCTAAACCCCATGATTTTCACTTCTTTCATACTCACAAATTGACTATTTTTCAACTGAGAGTGAAGGAATACCTACCAAGGAAACTTCATACAAATCTGTGAGAACACCAAGTTTAGAGACAGTGGGTGTTCCGTGTTCAACGGAAGAATCCATTTCCATTGAATAGGTGACTGCGGCGGAGTGACGTGGAGTTGATGTTCCGCTTGTATTCGTCAGGCATTTTAACCACACGATCTATAAAAATCGGGTCGAACGACAAGCGTGTGGTACTTACTACCTCACATTTCAAAACACAGTAGGTGTATCAGCTTATTCTGCACTTGGAATTCCCATGCAAGTACGATCAGACCTGGCCCCGTGCAGATCCGGGTAGAATCTGTCTTCAGCAACCAATGCTTGCCGTAAAAGGCGACTATGCTTGTCGTTATAGGGATCGGGTTGTCAGGCTCGCTGACATGGTTGATGCATGTCATCGTGTCCCAATTTCGTATCCCAATCAATGGATTGTCTGGTCCAGGCTCGATTATTTACAGACCGCCGTCTGTAGTTGGAATATTGCTGATTGCGGCGTTATGCAACCCACAAACAAACAAACTGTCTGACCTGTGCATTCTTACATCATTTGTAGAAGCCTAGTGAAAAGTCATATACAACGGAATACTATACAATGAAACCCCATTATTCCGCAATTTTCGGATTGCGAATCCTGGATAAGGCGTATTGGTTGATTGAAACCGCGTTATAGTATTTTTCCATGTGAAATCGTCCGGTTTAACAATCGTTTATTAAACAAATATCCGGATTATCAAGTAACCGGGTTATCGAATACAGGTTAGAGAATAATTCCCCTCTACACCAACTCAAAAGTAAATTACCGTGCCCCATGGGAGAACGCGTTCCTTTCGAGAGCTGAAAGCGTGCTGTACTGGCGACACACGCGGTCATCGCGCGAGTACCTCGTTTTAACGCGAGCTGAAGTGTACATATGTAGACGTTCCCATATTGTCCGTTAGGATGGATTCCAGACTAGAAGAGTCCGAACTAACGGGGCTTACCGTATTCATGTTCTCAGGGGGGCACGGGTGGCCCAGTCGTCTAAGGCGCCGCGATTCGCTGTGCAGAGTTGCGTCCCTTCGGACGCGCCAGAAACCTATGATTGTGGGTTCAAATCCGATTCGCCCCGATTATGTTTCTAGGTTTGTCAGCACCATACCCGTGCTCGTGGGTTTCACCGGGTGGGAAACGTCTTACACCTGCATCACCTCGGGCTTTCATCCCACATTAAGCTGACACGCCGTGATATAACTGTAAAACTGTTAAACTCTCTCACTCACTCACTCACTCACACACTCACTCACACACTCACACACACATTCATGTTCTCAGTGCTAGCTGACTTACGGGCGTCATGGTACCACCATCCTATTCCGCCCCTGTTGGAGCAGATGAGGCTGTTGCAGAAGAAGTCGTGTATCGCACCTTCCTTGAAACACTGGTAGTTCCGAATGTCCAGGCACTCTGAAGACAACGGAGAAAGTGGGGTGAGTTTAACGTGTATTAGTATGCCTTCGTTATGTGGGGGGAATTTGTAGGAACCAATGAGCACATATATCGTCGTGTATCATAATTCCATCATAATGTATGACCTGGGCCCATTCGTCACCATAGCTTCGTTTTGTGTCATGTTCGAATGACACGATGCTAATCCAATCAAATTAGACACTGGCGATATCACCAGTGCTCGCCTTGTTCCATACCCTGCTGTACACAACATAGAACGTCTTGTAGCAGAAAGATATCCCTTCCCTGTCTTAATACTCAGGAATCATACTTTTCAGTTATACTGTCATTTATAACATTCTTCTGATTCCATGCAAAATAACTCATGATATCATAATCATAATTTCGTATCCCAATCACTGGATTGTCTGGTCTCTCGATTATTTACAGACCGCCGCCATATAGCTGGGATATTGCTGAGTGTGGCGTAAAACAACAAACCAATCATGCAAAATAAAATATAAGAATAAACTTGAAAACTAGATTTGACCAAAAATTACAAACGTTATCAAAACGTTACTAAGCTGGAAACAATCGCGAAACTTTGCAAACCTGAGATCCAAAACACAACTATGATAACGTTTCAAAAACACCACCATCGAATAACCATTTCTTGTTTGTTTCATTTTTAGCCATCATCAAACACAGGTGCATACTTTCTTTTGCCCGGCAGTATATATCAAGACCTGTCTCGTTCGTGGCCGCAATTTTGAATGTTGATCTGTGCTGAACTCATTGGCATTCTGATTGGTTGTTGATTTTCGAGCTCACGAGCGAGATAATCTCTGTACAAGGTTAGTGATAAGAGGGGTGGAGATGGTGACGTCACTTCCGAAAGGAAGTGTCGAATCATTCGTTACCAACTCGTGTTATTCCGGGACAAGCCGAATAGCTACTCGTGCCCCTCTCGTGGCCATTTTTTGCGACTGGGTTCCATCTAAGCGCAAACGGGCATAAGTAAAAGAATGTTCAACTCGTTGCGTAATGATTCACGTATATTTCCCCCATGTTATATATATTCAAGATGTTATTTAAAACACATCGGGTATTTTTTACAATTTGACTGAACACATTTAACTGTAAGTATATTTTTAGATGCAAGACATTGGTAAATTAAAAAATTATTCCCGAGGGATTCTTTGATCGAAGTACTTGATGTCATACACGCATTCTGATTGGTTTGTCGTATTTTCGCACATTATTATAACTTTCGTCGATAGGGGGGCGAGTTTTCTTGAAGTTTACGGAAAGGGGCGAATGGTGTCGAATAGGTCCAGGGTATATATCACAATATAATGGAAATGTACACCGGATAATCAATTATGTGAAGCCGAACCAAATATAAAACGAAATTTCAACTACATTGAATGTCCATGATGGAGTGAATGAGTGAGTGAGTTTGATTTTACGCCGCTTTTAGCAATATTCCAGCAATATCACAGCGGGGACACCAGAAATGGGTTTACACATTGTGCCCATCTGGGGAATCGAACCCGGTTCTTCAGCTCTATGTACGAACGCTTTAACCACTAGGCTACCCCATCGTCCCTCCATAATGGAAGCATTGATTTCTCCGAAATGAACTATTTTGGGCAAAATATAAACTGAGGGGCAAACTAATCTATACCTCAGTTGATTTGAAGTTGAAAATATCTTAAGTTAGCGATAATATATCCAAAAGAAGAACTGTACTGGCGCTAAAGCAGCAATCAAAGAATACGTCTACATGGTTTTATTTCTTATGTATAATTTAATTTGATTTAAAACTTTAAAAAAAAATAATTTGATTAATACATGTCATTGAACTTGAGCGATTTTAGATGTGTGTCCATTTACGTTGAAACTGTCATGCCAGTATCGGATGATGTATGGCTGTCATTTTAACTTTTGATTTCGTTGAGGTTTTGGTCTTATCAATACAATTTACTTTTTGCGCGCATTTATCTTTCGTGTTTTTTAAACTAAAGTGATTTAAAAACTATGGTCAAGTTTCTTTAAGCTGTCAGTTTAGTTAATGGTTTTTTTAAAGTAATAAGAATTTATAAAAAGATTTTAATAAATCTCACCTGCGCCCCAGTGGTGCATCCCAGTCTTTGAGTTCCGCTTGCATGTAACGCATCCAATACGGTACTTCGTTGTGCCTTCCTTATAGCACTGTCCCTGAAGTCGACATCCTACACACAAAGCATAAAAATGGTTAGATGGTGACGTGAAATGGGGTTTAACGTCGCGTCCAAGATTATTGCACTTATATAGCGACGTGCATGCACGTGTGTGTGTGTCTGCTTGTACTAGACCGGACTGATGCCGATTTATAGTGCTAGCCCACTGAGATACCATGCCGCAAGTTTAACATGAATACCCCACTCAGAGACAGTATACTGACTCCTTGTTTTAGCCCCTTAATGCCGAGCGCCAGACAGGGTAACAACAAGTACCATCTTTTAACGTCTTTTGGTATGTCGCGGCCGGGAATCGAACCCCGGACCTTCCGCTCTCCACTAGACCACGGAGGCGGTCTAAAAGTTGATAGAAGGAAGTTTAATGGAGGAAATGGCCCAAAGTGACACAGGTTTTCACCTTGACCACGGCCACGGTGCTTACGAACCATGAATCATAACCAGAACCAATGTGGGATTCGAACTAATGAACATAGTATCACGGCATCCTCATCCGCAGAACCAACCCCTTTCAACTTTTATGCTATTGGCAACTGGTCTATCTAGAATGAATAATTTACAGGCCGTGAGGAGTAACTACATAACATTATTTCATTCAAGCACAAATGATTTTTGGTTCATTGTCTAACGCTGCACTCAGCAATACCCAGTTATATGACGTCGGTATGAAAATAATCGTGTCTGGACCAGACATCCCAGTGATTGATATCATGAGCATCGATCTACGCATTTGGGGTACGATGACATCCATCAACCAAGTCAGCGAGCCTGACCACCCGATCCCGTTTGTCGCCTCTTACGACTAGCATGGTTTGCTTAAGACCGATTGTAACAGATCTTCCCGGGTAACACAACTGATAGCGTTTATTTCCCAAAGTAATTTAGCTCAATCGGGGTGGTCGAGTGGTTAAAGCGTTCGCTGCGGTTTGCATACATTGCAAGCCATCTGGTTTTATCCTAATGTTCGTAATCAAAATATCCAAAAATGACCTTACGCGGAAATACAGCAGTAGCACATAGTTGATTATATGTGTAGAAACACACAGAGTTGAAACTCTATTTACGCGAAGTTGAAGGTGCAAGATCAACATTTGTTTCTTTGACAAATAACATAAAAGTGATCAGAATATATTTCGTCTACGATTTAAGTGTTTAAGGATTTCTTCGGCCATTAAGCATGTTTTATCCAACACTAAGGACTAGTCCTCATTCATCCACATTCGACACAAATTCTGACGTCATCGTTTTACTTTTGTGTTCCTCATAACTATACATCGGTCCCTACGAACCCCTCCCTCCCATCCCTCCCTAGTAATGCAATATTAAATCCTCTTACAAATACTGGTTCCTGGACATATTTGCGCTGCATCACTTTCATGATAAAATTGTCATATATTTTAATGAATCAATATTTGGCCCGCAGGTATGTTGGGATTTCCCTTTTGTTCAGCTTTATTTGGGGAATTTGTTTCTCTGCATGTAAATAAACTTATCTGATCGTGAATTTAAAAGGCATATGTGCCAACAGATGACATCATATTGTTAGAATATCATCGCACCTGTTGTTGAGACTGTGTGGATCGTCACGACATTGTTTCGAACTGCACAGGCCTTGACCTCACATCCGACCTTGACCTCTGACCCCGGTGATGCACACGTGCCGTCCTCGAGCAAACAACCTGTGGGTCAAATGAAACGTACACAGACAACGACCCAGATTCCATCATATGAATGAACGTTTACTGTACAATGAACTATTTGTTGTACAGAAATGTATAAAAATAAATTATCATTTTATAAAAGTTTTTTATTAACAAAACTTTATATAATGGCTCAAAATCCCTTTATGTTGATTCCGAAATGACGACAAAAAGCATGGATGCTGGGATATTATCCCTTCGCTTGTATTGTAACATCATTGATTAAGGTACTGCGCCGTTATATAACTACTTTAATGTACAGTGAAACCTCGGTAATCCGGCTACCTATCCTTCCGAACGATTAGCGCTGAGGACGCTTCCATGTATATTTAAAATGTCAAAGCCAGAGAATAATAAGTCTCGATTATCAGACCAAACAAATACTATTGTATCATAAAAGCCCAAATGGTGGTGAATATCATATGAATGGATCATGGAAACAGAGTTTCGTTAGTCTGGAAATGTGTTAATTTCAGGGGGAGTGCTACCGTTCGCATTCAAGAGGTTTTACTGTACATGTTATTACAGACTATCTTTCATCATAGTCATAAGTCACCAGGGATAGGTTATCAGTAATTCCGTATTGACAATATTAGTTATGGCAATATTAGTTAATTATTCGATATTCTGTATATGAGTTTATTACCTGAGTAAAATTTCGTAAGAAAATCTAGATGGATGTCAATCACTAACATCAGTCATTGTTATCACGACGTCACTCAAAAGCGGCTATAACGCCAATTATAATTAGGAATTGACAACGTCACCTTCATATAGTAGAGTTGCCAATGCCCGCTTCGCCCACAGTGGAACAAAAGGAGGGAATCAGTGAAACGCAAATAATGTATTTCCCTAACCTGCAAGACTTGCTGAAATATGTTCTCCTCTATCCGTGCCACTACGAATATATTAATACCATACCTGCCAGTATTCCCGTGGTGCCATCGTCATTCTTCAGGCACTTGGTGCACAGATTGGGCCCCTCGCCAGCACTGAAGCACTTCCCGTCGATGCTGCAACCTAGAGCAAAACATTATCAGCCATAGTGAGCATGTACATGCTGAAACGGCGAGGAAATAAAACAACATTGAAATACTTTGATATAATGAGTAACATGGTGATGTTAAAATCCGTGAGTAATTAATGTTGACTCTTTATACGTTTTCGCGAGAGCAAGATATCGCCTTTTATATAATTATGATCAATACTGTACACGTATTCTTGAGATAATAGATAATTAAGGGATATTCGTCTGATGATAGATAATCAAGGATATTCGTGTGATGATAGATAATTAAGGGATATTCGTCTGATGATAGATAATTAAGGGCATTCGTGTGATGACAGATAATCAAGGGTACTCGTGTCATGATAGATAATCAAGGGTATTCGTGTGATGATAGATAATTAAGGGCATTCGTGTGATGATAGATAATCAAGGGTATTCGTGTGATGATAGATAATTAAGGGATATTCGTGTGATGATAGATAATCAAGGGCATTCGTGTGAGGATAGATAATCAAGGGTATTCGTGTGATGATAGATAATTAAGGGATATTCGTCTGATGATAGATAATTAAGGGATATTCGTCTGATGATAGATAATTAAGAGTATTCGTGTGATGATAGATAATCAAGGGTATTCATGTGATGATAGATAATCAAGGATATTCGTGTGATGATAGATAATTAAAGGATATTCGTTTGATGATAGATAATCAAGGACATTCGTGTGAGGATAGATAATCAAGGGTATTCATGTGATGATAGATAATTAAGGGATATTCGTCTGATGATAGATAATTAAGAGTATTCGTGTGATGATAGATAATCAAGGGTATTCATGTGATGATAGATAATCAAGGATATTCGTGTGATGATAGATAATTAAAGGATATTAGTGTGATGATAGATAATCAAGGACATTCGTGTGAGGATAGATAATCAAGGGTATTCGTGTGATGATAGATAATTAAGGGATATTCGTCTGATGATAGATAATTAAGGGCATTCGTGTGAGGATAGATAATCAAGGGCATTCGTGTGAGGATAGATAATCAAGGGTATTCGTGTGATGATAGATAATCAAGGGATATTCGTGTGATGATAGATAATCAAGGACATTCGTGTGAGGATAGATAATCAAGGGATATTCGTGTGATGATAGATAATCAAGGACATTCGTGTGAGGATAGATAATCAAGGGTATTCGTGTGATGATAGATAATCAGGGGATATTCGTGTGATGATAGATAATCAAGGGCATTCGTGTGAGGATAGATAATTATGGGCATTCGTTTGAGGATAGATAATCAAGGGTATTCATGTTATGATAGATAATTAAGGGATATTCGTCTGATGATAGATAATTAAGGGCATTCGTGTGATGATAGATAATCAAGGGCATTCGTGTGATAATAGATAATCAAGGGTATTCGTGTGAGGATAGACAATCTGGAGTTTTCGTGTGAGGACAGACAATCTGGGGTATTCGTGTGAGGATAGATAACTGAGGGTATTCGTGTGATAGTAGATAATAAAGGGATATTATAGTATTGCTAGACCTTAATTATTTAAAAGGACACGATCGTTATGCTAGATATTATCTTGGTATGTACCAGTACACAATACATAACGACATGTCATTATAATGGCATACACTGGAACCCCGGGAAATTCCACAAGGAACTTCTGACACGGTATTCCTGACTTTCAAACTCACGGGTTTCTTGAACGGGGTCCTTTGTCAGCACACCGTGCGCCACATCCGGGTGATAGGTGCACGTGTAGGTCACACAATCCATCTCCTCCACATCGTTAGGCTTCAGGCACTGGGTGGAGTTCAGCTGGCTCCTACAACCTGGTTACAAGACGTAACACGTGTTACTTCCATGGCTACCAGACACAGATACCCAGAGTACTAATGGCTACCACTGGTAAACACAAGGCAACAGAGGTAACCAGTGGTTGCAGAGAATTGTGACCGGATTCTGGTAGACACTGATGGTCTTCAGGGAGAGAAACGTTTAAGCCAAGCCTCTTCACAAGTTTTCAAATCCTCACCAAAGATGACAACATATGATTAATTCAGGAAAAATGTGACTTGAAAGTGTAAGACAACTAAACAACACATTACATGGTACAATCTTTTTTTATTAATGTTAATCGATCAACATCGTCCAGTAGGTCGACATTCTATGCTATCGTTGATAAGCTCCAATGTTAATTAAAAGCCACTCATTTTGGCTTGCTGCTGTCATATTTCTTCTCACCCACCAACATACAAGAACATGACTACAGTAACTTCCCAGGGCTAACCCGCGTGTACTGATGGCTACTCATGGTATTTGTTTCCCTCCGTTGATAAACACCGTTGAAAACACACACACTGAAAAAATGTATTTAACGTTAAACTTGGCTCGGATTATATGAAAACGTGATTCTCGTGGTTCTTAATGTATTCATCCAGGTGGAGTGAGGATGAAGATTATTTTCAGTGGTTACAGCTTCTTGGGCACTCGGAAGTCGTTAAAGAAAAATTAGCAGTCGTTGGGTTTTGTCCAGGGTTATTGTTTTCAGGAACAGTGGTGAAATAATGAAGATTTTTTTTTCAAACACATCTTCTCGAACAACCAGCTACGCAAGATTATTAGAGCACAGATTATACTTGTCTATCATAAACATCTAGGTTGACGATGTGCTAATACACATTGTACATCGTCTGTGTGGGTCAGTATTAGTCCCTAATACCCCGTGTTTGTCATTCGAGCAGACAAAAATGGGAATCGGATGGTCAAGCTCTGGAATTTGCTAAATTTGTCATCGTACTCCGAGCGTTGTTCATGATTGCCTTCATTGGTTTGCTTGATCCGTACTCGATTATTCACGGGCCATCGTGATATAGCTGCATATATTGCTGACCTTGGCATTCAACAACATTCATTCTTTTCGCCCTGCACCCATCTTCCCGAGACAAGGGAGTAAACTGACTATAAAAGTCCAGTTTCAATGAACTCAACTACCACTTAGGGATCGACCATTTCCGTGTTTATGGAGGTGGGGTCGGGGTTTGTTGTAATACTAGAAACAAAATTTGGCTCAGTTTTACACCATTTTTTGTAATTGTTGTTTGGGTAAAAAATGAGTTTGTATCTTCCTTTCAGAGAAAGTAATTGTATTCTGTCTTAAATATTATCTAACCAAACTCCCAGCCTTCCAACCCCATACAAGATATTATCGGCCCCTTAGTGAAAGCGAGACTAATCATGAGATGTCTCAGCTGGTTTGTTGAAACTGTACATCACATAGTTACTCTTTTGTTTCTAACTCAGGAATGCGACAGTTTCCAATAATAAACGTTTAGATCTTACCGGGTGATGCAAAGTGTAAGATGGCATCTGTTCCGTATGTTTCATTTTGACAGAACCTGATGATATCACAGAAGCGGTCTAACACAACCGGAACACAGAAAAGAAGACACACACCACAGACAACAACACAAACAACACAGGCAACAACACAAACAGAACGCAGACAACAAGAGTGCACATGTTCCTGAGTCCAGCTCAAGCCCCGGGCCTTCTGGGGGCAAGGAAGGGTGGGGGAGGGGGTGGATTTGGTGGGGCCTTGTATCCGCGCCCGGCAAGTCACTCTGATTGTTGCTTTTCCTTTTGTGTATGGTAAAGTAGGTACATTCACATGTATATTCAAGGTGGATGACGTGTTGACGTAAAACCTTTGGTGCATCTATTTTAGCTTTTGTCTAAAAAGTATCTTGCTTGTGCATTACGAAGCACCAACCAAAATAGCACTGAGGTATGTACTGCTGATCAGTTTCAACAACGCGCATGGAAATGACCTTTAATTGAACAGGAGGTTCTTAATTGAAGCTTGATAGAAAACGCACGCGCACACACACACAGACAGACACACGCAGACACACGCGCGCGCGCGCACGCACACACACACACACACACTCACACTCACACCCACACACACTCACACACACACACACACACACTATACCACGACGGGATAATGTCCTGAAAGTAATACTGCTACTGAATTTGTCACCAAGATCCAATTTAAATATTCAATTATACAAAATTAATGTTCAACATTTGAATGCTACATTCAAATCGTCAACGGTAACACAATGTAGCGCCTTCGATAAAATCCAGGGACGATTAGACAAAACTTGTCAGATTTCTACCAAATCTACGGAAACAGATACTAGTACATACCGTACTCGATGTCAGCCGTATTTCCACATTTTACCATTTTACATGGAATCCCTCCTGGTGCCATGTACCTCTCTCCGGGCTGGTACACAACTCCGCCGATGTTGCATGGCTCCGCTAAACAAACAGGCACATCTCAGTCCCTCCAATCATTTACTTAGCATACAATTTCTCTCGCTCGTGAGCTTTCAACAACCAATGAAAATGTCTCTTCTCAATGCGAGTGTGGCATATATCTCCATACTTTAAATCGTACCTGGTACGAGTGAGACCTCAATATATTTCATCGAATGAATTTCCATTGTATTTGAGACGTAATACAACAAGGCGAGTGGATTTGGTACTGATGAATGTGCCGCTTGTTTCAATACGTAAATTAAATATTTTCAATTCATTAAACAAGAACAGTAAATGGTTGATTGGATGGCTATTTGTATCGTCGTGTCATTCGAACCCCGTTAACCTGTCTCAATGAGGCTAAAATGGCGAAAAGGTCCAGCATATTTATTATAATAGAATGGAGATATAACACTGGATTATCGAGGATAAACCGTACAGAGATGTACAAATGTCTTTAATTCAAAACTTCAATGCTTCATGCAAATATTTGCCGACATAATAATTCATATTTATGGTATTACTTCTTGTTTTCAAAACCATAATTATAACCAATGTTCTAAATATACATGTATATAGATTTAAAACTAAATGGACAAGAAATGTTGAGTGACTATTTCAGTTCACATCAATAATATATATGTACGCCTCGGTACATAGCGAACAATCTCTTAAACTCGAAATCCTGGGGATCATCGACAATATTTCGAGACATGTCTAGTTCGAGACAACAGTTGGTCCAGCTTAGACCGTAGTCCCGATTACAGTCCTAGAAGTAACATTTACATCGTCTTATACGATATCGAGTTATGGGAATTCGAATCAAAGATTCACAGTATACATGGGTTACTGATCAAGCACAAAGTTAAAGTTAAGTATACACATTTTACGAATTTTATATAAACTGCAGGGTAAAAGAAAGTATTCACTTGAACATTTGATTTTGCACAAAAGTTACAAACGTTATAAAAAACGTTACTAGGCTAAAAACAGTCGCTGAAACACTGCAATTTTAGGTTCACAACAAAACTGTGGTACCTGTATCAAATACATCACACTCGAATAACCATTTCATTTTTTTCACTTTGAGTCACCTTCAAACCTGGGCGTATAATTTCTTTTGCCTGGGAGTTTAGTTACAAACAGATATAAGTAAAATACTCACTCTGACCGCTCACCACGATGAGGTTGACCAGGAGTGGCACGAGGAAGAGCATGTTCAGTCTACAATATACGTCAACAAATTTAAAGCATGATCATTCTATGAAGATTTCAAAGAATGACATATGACTCTTCATCAAAAGTCTCTTCATCAGTATTTCATGCAAGGTCTCAGCAAAATTTTCAAATCATTTTATTTTACATGTGGAGGACATTTCCGCATCAGTGAAATTTGTTGACGCATCCATGAGAACAATGATGTCCGATGAAATTCCCAGTTTTGACTTGTACCATATGCTCCCGTGGTGTTTTTCTTCTCTTGATTTTGCTTTGAATGTATTTGTGAGGGATGCCACAGGTAGGGCAGGATGAGCTCACCTTTCAGTGAACACTTGATATCATCACTATTTGATAGTGATTCATACTTATGCTTATGATATAGTAGGAATCGTAGAATAGAAATGGTTACACTCTTGACACTGTATACCGCAAGGCAAACGCATCTGTTCACACACATTTATTCATAATTGATAATTTAGTGACTGTATGGCCTTGATAAATCTTCTGACTGCACATAAACTAATATTAAAGTAAGATGCTGTTTTTGTTATTAAATTAAAACAAAAGTCAAATTGTTTATCTCTATAAGGGAAATAATAAACAGTTATTTCACCATAACATGTATTACTTGAGCCTGTACAACCAACGGAATCTGTTTCGTTGGATAATCGAGACTAGTTATTCTCTCGTGTTGATGTTTATATTTCAGAACTTGAAATTGATGTTTTAATCTTCCAAGGAAAACGTCACAATAATATAAATAGCGTGATTATGACCGTTATGTGTGTCTGTTATATGTCACAGCCAAATACACGAAGTACACATTTTCTGTAATCAATCATATTTCTCTTCCACGTAATCGGGAAAGGCATAATTTTCACATGCAAACTTCATGATTACATTAGACTGTTAGACAAAGGGCTAACATACTTTTAATCATTATTTAATTTATTTGCAGAATATTTCTAATTATTAATTAACATAAACACCATGTGCGAGTTTGTAAACGAGTTAAAATGTCAGGAAGTTATTATTAAATACTAGTATTTAATTACGTATGTACCTACCTTTCCAGCGGAAATAACATGCAACTTGCAAGGGTTCTACTATCCAGGCAAGTTAAGATAAGAACTAATGTGCAGTCTTGAAATAGCGTCACATGCCTGTTTTCAACCAATCATAATGACGGCGACATCTGTCGCCAGTAGCTGCATAGCTTCCGACTCAGAGTAAAGATCAATGACCAAGATGCCACATAGAATACAGCTGAATAGATTAACTGTTGCAGTAATAATGGATATTTTCATAGAATGTCTCACTGTTGTGGCGAATCAGGTGGATTAATTGTTGGGATAACACATCAAAGGCTAAAATGGGGTCAAGATATATATGAAATCAATAATTAAGTCAAATATGCATTCTGTTTACTTATAACCATCGTGTGGTTGATGCAAAAATAAATATTAATGAATGAGAGATTTAATCTCTTATTATTATTTAAGTGTTTATTGGTTTGAAAATATGGGTGGCCAAAAACATTTGGCTTGAGGACAACATATACTTTAGACGTGTATGTCAATTTACGGAAGAAATCAATAACAACGTTAAAGGTACGTATACACAAGGACATTTAGAATTGCCAGTTTACGCTTATCAGAGGGGTACACAAAGTACTTGATCTAGACTACCAGTTGTCGGACTTTCATTTTTGTGGAAGCCTCGGTGGCTTAGTAGGTTAGTGGTAACTATATAAATACACATGTATAAGGGACATTTTAGTAATCAAATATACTTTCATTGTCATGGTTTTCTCCGTTTAGATAGAACACACCAAGTGTGTATTCCGTTTAGGATATAAACACATTCCTAATCAAGTTTAAATCTAAACAAAACACGTCATGTCTGTGTTTACAATCTAAACACATTTTTTACAGTGTAGGGGGTGACTCTGAAAACGCATTATACTCCTGCTGTATCCATACCTCATTATACATATGAACGAAAGCAGTTACATTGTTACGTGTCGATTTCCCAAATTTATATGAATTAAGTGTCAAACCAACAAACAAACAACAAATTGTATACAATCAATATTTGTATTACAAAATTAACGAGGAGTAACAAATCAAAACAAATTACTTGACAGCGATTACAATGACACAATAGAGCGGAAGTACAATATTTCATGGCAGTATAAAATGCGAGAGCAGTGGAAACGACAAGACAAGAATAATTATCACCTCGCCGCAACAGTTGTCAAGCTTCCGAGATAGGCCTCGGCTAGGAATCCTGGGTGAATAGTGATCTTCATACAAAAAAAGCTGGTCTTGATGTAATGCCAGATCAAATGTGAGATGAGACATGTACGCGTCCGCTCCACTTCTATAATTCAACTAGCTTCTAGAACTTTCCACACAGTGCCATCACATCACAGAATATTCCACATGTTTCCATAACGTTTGACATCCATCCATACTATTCCGGAAGTTTACAGATAATTCTAGCGTCTCATAAATATAATAACTTCCTCACCACTGCTTACATTAAATTGTACTACATTCCTGACAACTAAGCATTGTCCAAATACAATGCAATGAACTTCTACTGAATCTCAACAGAAACATTGCAACGCAGCCACAATTATTATCCAACAACAAAACACACTGCCATATAACAATATCAACAACCTTTACTGGTTGTTATGTTCACTGATATGATAGAAGTAAACTTGAAATACTTCAATACTCTTTCACCTGGCCTGATCCTCGATGATCTCGACTATCAGCGTCCAGATCGGTTCATTTTCTACGATATTGATTAACTGCTGTTAAATAATTTTTCATATTTAGAGTGAATTAGTGAGTGTGGTTTTACGCCGCTTCAGCAATATTTCAGCAATATACAGGGTACACCAGAAATGGGCTTCACACATGGTACCCATGTGGAAAATCGAACCCGGGTCTTTGGCGTGACGAGCAAATACTGTAACCAGTAGGCTACCCCACCGCCCAGTAATAATTTTGAAGAAAGTCATATGAACCTTTGTTAAAATAATGACAAGGGCCGAATGGCATTGTCTCCAGCAAAACCGTTGGTTTTATCTCCATTCTATTATAATATATAGCCAAGACCCATTCGCTAGCACAGCTTTGTTCTGAGCACGATTCGAATAGCACGATGCTAAAAGTAGCCGTCCAATCACATTACTCTCACAAGCGAGAGAATCTATCTGCTCAGTTAGAGATTGGATATATGGGGGTGTTGACGTCACTTCCGCAACGAAGCTGTGGTGGTGAATGGGTCAAGGGTATTTATCATAAAAGAATGGATATAACACACTGGATATTTCAAACTGGCATGTAGATGAAACAATGTTTAACTATGAGTTGAAAGGAAGCTATTTTATTGTTCATTATTACATGCGAAAGATATCCCACATACAGACGACCGCCATGGTTTTGTCTTAAGGTACCGCATCACTGCATTTGTAGTGGGGGCTGATGCCGGCCAATTGACAGGTGCAGTTGTGGACAAGGTGGTTATTCATGCTGACACTGAAGACGTCGCCAGCGCCGTGACACTTGCCGTTAGCGTCCTCGCACACTGAAAACGGAGCAATGCACAGAACTAACATACTGAAGACAGATCAAGGTTTTTTAGTGAGAAAGTGGGCGAATGTTGTTTAGTCAGTAATATTACAGCCATATAACGGAGGCCTGTAAATAATCGTCACTGGACGAGGAGATAGAGTGAATGAAAACAAAAACGATCCACATCATCAACCTTTAAACCATGGACATGCCTGTACACCCGATCTATGTAATCAACGGATGTCCGTGGATGAAGTTTTCGGTATAAAGTGGTCCTCGGTTCGAGAATGTCCGGTCGCGATAACACTCAACTACGAAAGACTCACATGCGCTCGTAGGTTCCAAGGAGAAGACCTTTATGCCAAGGAATACTTGTTGTTTGCACTTGTGAGTGCGGCATTTATCGACATACGTTTCCCCTGGCTTGACGCACTCATGGCTTGGTGTCTGGCAAGCTTGAACAGAAATACGACGCATAAAATAAGGTGCATTCATTTGTATCTATGATTTTCTTAACATATATTTATTTTCTCAATACAATATTTCTTTCCTGATAAAAGTGAAATGACCGTAAAAAAAACCAGTCTAATGAACCTGGTATGTATGTTAAGCCTGAAGAAAGCTTGTTGGAGCTGAGAGCGTACGCCTATAAAACGACTAATCTTCTCCAAGTTTATATGCAATCTTATCTATATTCATCACACTAACACATTTTAAACGTTACATCTATTCCAACATATGAATCCACATCAAAGCAACTCAAATGCAGTTACTAAAGACCAATATCTCTGCAAAAACATGAGTCAAAGCAACATCCGGATCGGGAGGAAGAAATTACAGAAAGGACAGAGTTCACAGACAACTAAATATATCTGCAGGCAGTATGACATAGCAGCTAACGAAAGGAAGAGTTAAGGGAGGCACACCGATATGGGTCATGCAGAGGACATCTTGAAGTTGACAGTCCAGATCCATAACAATGGTCAAGGGTTCAAGAATGACGAACGAGTTCATGAATATCTCCCAAAACTAAAAGATCCTATGAAGTCACAAGACATGTCCAAAGTACGAGACTGTATTTCCGACGGCTTGGAGGTGTTTGTCAGACATGCTTTTCGCAACTTTGCGAGCCGTTTAACATGATTAGTCTGCGAGTTGTGAATGCATCAATGCCACTGTCATCAGAAAAACTGCCATCATCACTTGATTCCTGACATGTTGTGATCCACTTCCAAAACATTGATATATTTCCACTGCATTTACTGTCACATTGACACTGCGTCTGACTGTCACATTTATATAGCCAACTACTGGTAGTGGAACAAATGTCACAGCATGTATGACGGTCTTGCTGGGACTGGAGATGTCTCATAGTGTAGTAGCAGTTTTAGTCTTCAACAGACGTTTTGTTTACATAGTTCTTCGTGAAACTGTCAATGTTCCCCGTGCCTGACAAACAATGTTTGTATTTCATCAGAATGATGAAACTTGTTGTCATGGAAAGGCAAATAATTTCCTGAATAGCACGAGGCTCAAGTTCAGTGTATGCCTGATGTGTATACAAAGTTTCATGAATAAATATTGCATGGTGTTTGAGTTATGCCCCGGAGACGAAACGTGACGGGCGTACCACGTGTCTACATCACCTGCAAAACTTCATTTGGGCAGGGCATAATAAAACAGACCATTAAAGTAAATGGGTATGACCAGTTATGTACTTTAGTATACAGCAAACATGTGTACACATTTGATACGTGCAATAATGAAGTTCAGTTCAAATACTCATAATTATAACCTTACCCCTGTTTGTTGTTATTCGCTTGATGCTCAGTTAATGAATTATACTTATGACAGGTATAATTAGTGGTAGCACCACTGAGATTACCTATTAAAGGTTCCCACTTGGCTTTTCTTGTGTCTGGGGTAAATTTTGAATCTAATATAATATAAGATTGGCTAATAAATCCAGGTCTGAAGTGGGGTTTAATATACGAAAATATAATCACAAGTTTAGAAATTTCATACAAAATTCATACACAAAAACAATTTACATACATACATACATACATACATACATACATACATACATACATACATACATACATACATACATACATACATACATACATACATACATACAGCCTTTATGTCCTCGGCATCCTGGACGCGTCTTCCACGTAGCGCAGATTTCATTTCCCGGAACAGGAAATAGTCACTGGGGGATAAGTCTTGGCTGTAGGGTTGGTGATTTAACTGTACAACCCAGACTTAGCCCTTTTTAGTGCCTTTTTCCTGTTCCGGCAAATTAAATCTGCCCTACGTGTAAGACCCTTCCAGGATGACGAGGACATAATGATGACTTGGTCTTATATTGAAGTTGCAAAACTTATTATACGCCCCTCGTACATACATGAGTACAGTGAAACAAATCACCGAGTCTGACCATCCGATTCACATAGTCGCCTCATACGACCAGCATTCGAGTGGTGAGCCCCTGTACTTACTCGGATCCCTAAAGGTTATCGGTCTGCAGATAACTATTGGTTATTTAACTCAGCATTATGTGACATACATACTGCTATGTATCTAAATCAGCTGAACTGATATTTGAAGCATCATTACCAAGCATCATTTAATTCTCCGCTCTCTGTACATAGTGTAACAGCCAGATTGTGATTTGAAGGCAAAACCTCACTCGAAATTAATATGTTATCATCTAAAGCTTACTTAAATATTGACTTATATTTGAAATGTATTTGTAATCGAGATCTCAATGAGTACCAGGTGGTGTCTTACAAAGGACAGGCTCGACTTCACGTGAACCATTTGTAATTGGTCCAAAATCGACCGTGAGCCTGTCGCAGCCCTCTAGCTGTGCTGGTTGTGCATGATTAAATACTTCAGCTGTATACCATTACGCCGCTCAATATATTTTTCATGTCAATGTTGAAAGCAGGAACTTATAAAACATTAAATTACTACTTTGATTTTTTTTTAGAATTTGTTTTTCTTAACGCCGCACTCAGCAATATTCCAGCTATATGACGGCGGTCTGTGAATGATCGAGTCTGGGCCAGAGAATACAGTGATTGACATCACGAGCATCTATCCATGCAATTGGGATACGATGACATTTTGAGAAAGTTTTAAATATATGTGTTTAAAATCTAAAACTTACCTGTGATACTAGTAATTTTCTTTTCACAGTGTGCGTCAATCAAAAATCAGTGTAAAGACATCACATAATATTTAAGTAATTATGTAGAAGAATTATTTTAATGATTATATTCAAACAGGTGTGGTTAAGTTTCAGTGAGTGAGTTTGGCCTTAGCGGCTTTTAGCAAGATGTAAATAATCTAGTCTGGACCAGACAATCCAGTGATTGACATCATGAGCATCGATCTACGCAATTGGCATACGATGACATGCATCACCCAAGTCGGCGAGCCCGTTAGTCGCCTCTAACGGCAAGCTTGGTTTGCTCAAGATCTTCACTGGCCACGAGTATTAAGGAACCCTCAAGGGGTTGAGTATAGGCTGCTAGAACTGAGAATGGAATGATGTTTGGTGGCAAGACCAAGGAAGATCATAATCTGAGCGAAGTTTGGATTCGAACACGCATCCTGGGGTCCTGTCACGCCTTATAGAGCCACATGGGTCCTTATAATATATGTATAACACGTAGGTATAACGCCGCCTTGAACAGTGTGTCAGTTATATAACAGCGTGTCAGCCTGATGTGAGAGGAAAGCCAGAAGAGATGAAGGTCTCGTTACTTTAGTGTATCCACGAGCAAGGCTATGACGCTGAGAAACCTTAAAACTTAAAACCTTAAATAATCAGGGGGAATCTCGGATTTGAACTCACGATCATGAGCTTAAAGCAACCCTTAAGAGACGAAACTCTAACAATTATTGCGCCTCAGTGTAAAATATATAGTTTTGTTTGGTCAACAGACATCGTTAATGTAATATCATTAGCAGTTTGGAAAACATTATTACGTGAAGCACGTGCAGTATGAGCTCGGGACCAGCTACAGACTGTCACTTGTCGACTGATGAATAAACGAAGGTCGTCTCTTGGTTATTGAAAGAAAACTTGACTTTGACAACTAGGAGACCCTTACATGTTGAAAGACATATTGACGAATGCACAAATCTGGCAGAGAAGGTTGGGCGTCTGTACTGACATTCTCTTAAGGCTTTTGCGTAACTTGGACATTTTTCAAAATATTACTCTTATACGTATCGACCTTGACGTCCCTCGATGGTATATGGAGGCATCACCTGTCGCAACAAGATCATGGTGACCTTTCTGGTACTCCAACACAAGTATCAGGTTTAATGTTGACATGAAAACATGCTTACACATATGACGGAATCAGATTGTGTAGTGTTTTGTTGTCGACTACTTGCCATAAAATTATTGATATTAAATAGGAATCAAATACTTACGTGCATCTGGCGTACTACCCACCCTAAAAGAGCACACCCCACACCCCGTCCCCTTCTATAGGCATCCGACACGCCCCTTAATTTGCAATTAAGAACTCTTGAATCATATCAGTGTACGCATTTGGAACAAGTAAATCAGATTTTCACATTGAATGCATGACCACGTATGCCCATAAACGACACACAAAGTCGAAAAGTGAATTTCAACAGATAGCCATGCCATGGCGTCCAGCGTACTGTACTGGTGTATTCGGCATACCACTATAGGTATAAATGTACTGAAGTATTAGGCATCCGGCGTAGCAAACGAGTGCTGGCAAGTTTAGTTACACACCTGCGATAAACAATATGATATTATCATCAGCTCAGGGCCCTTCCACCTCTACACGCAGCCCAGACAGCAATTTGGACTTTCCCAGAAAGCGCTGCCAATCGAATGCACCCTGGACTTTTCGGAGAATGTGAAGACTCCCCAACACTGCAGCATTCTGCATTACCCAGATGGTCAGAGGGCTGTATTCATGGCAGCAAACCAGGGTACTCCCCCAATATCAGTCAACAGATTTGGCTGGTTCCAAACCTAAGGCGCCGAGAACAACGAGGAGTCAATGCTGAAATTTGACTGATACGTTGAAAAATAACATTGTTTCAACATTGGCATTTGTTTCGGTATTTGAAAACATGTCGAAATCTGACATTGTTTCCAACATTGACTAGACACTGGCCTTTCTATATTGAAAATATGTTTAAAACTGACATTGATTCAACATTATTCAACATTGATTCATCATTATTTTGCCCGCTGGGTTCGTACTTGGGATGCAAGAGTGACATTTTGTAAGCGAGATCCATATAGTTGCCATGTTTGTCCTGAAGCTTGTCAAGGACAGAGAATTAAATAGTTATAATTAGTTCATTGGATTTAGCAATAGTAACAAGATCAGGTTTGTTGGCTTGAATACGCCTGATGCTGTATGTGCCCCTATTCGAAAGAATTGTATAATTATCATTTTCTATTACGCACTCTAAATATTCTGGGGCGTATCATAGTAATAAAAGGATGGAGTCACGCTGTGTCGCTTAAGATACTGTGATTGTCCCGCTGGGCATCCACTGACAAGGTATTGGACAGTCTAAAAAAATCATTACATAATCTACATTTCCTATTTACAGGTGGTTGTTGTTGTTCTTCTTCTTCTTCTTCTTGTTAAACACATATTAATAACAAAAAAATCACAAACAACTTATAAATAATTACATGCTGAAACGCAATCAACAAGAATAATTATTTACTAAAACAACTGAATCACCTCGTTCTCGAAACGAAGGGCGGGGTGTATTTCATGAATGGGCATCTTAGATAGGATCGTTGTTTGACAATATTCTCATGATTGAGTCGGATCAGTGCCCGGTCCTGTTCACCCAGGTGATTTGTATTAACTGCTTGGCATTTGGGAGTCTGGTCCGGCATCTTACCTTGACTGATGTCAAACAGGCCTACACTGCCATTCCGCTCTTCACAGCGCCTCGTCACACAGTTGGAGGTCTCCGTGTAGTTTGCGGGGAGGCACTTGACTCCATTGGTACATCCTGTAACATGCATACAGAAGTCTGTACTGATAACACTTCAAACTGTGAAACCTGGTAACATACATTTAGGACTCTCTACTACTGTACGTCCTTCCCATGATATCCCAGGCCAGTATAGATCCCCAACACATCATTCCCGTGATATCCTAGGCCAGTATAGATCCCCAGCACATCCTTCCCATGAGATCCCAGGCCAGTATAGATCCCCAACACATGCTTCTGTGAGATCCCAGGCCTGTATAGATCCCCAACACATGCTTCCCATGAGATCCCAGGCCAGTATAGATCCACAAAACATCCTTCCCATGATATCCCAGGCCAGTATAGAACACCAACACATCCTTCCCGTGATATCCCAGGACAGTATAGATCCCCAGCACATCCTTCCCGTCATATCCCAGGCCTGTATAGATCCCCAACACATGCTTCTGTGAGATCCCAGGCCTGTATAGATCGCCAACACATGCTTCCCATGAGATCCCAGGCCAGTATAGATCCACAAAACATCCTTTCCGTGATATTCCAGGACAGTGTAGATCCCCAGCACATCCTTCCCGTGATATCCCAGGCCTGAATAGATCCCCAACACATGCTTCTGTGAGATCCCAGGCCAGTATAGATCCCCAACACATGCTTCCCATGAGATCCAAGGCCAGTATAGATCCCCAGCACATCCTTCCCGTGATATCCCAGGCCTGTATAGATCCCCAACACATGCTTCCCGTGAGATCCCAGGCCTGTATAGATCCCCAACACATTCTTCCCGTGAGATCCCAGGCCAGTATAGATCCACAAAACATCCTTCCCATGAGATCCCAGGCCTGTATAGATCCCCAACACATCCTTCCCCTGAGATCCCAGGCCAGTATAGATCCACAAAACATCCTTCCCATGAGATTCCCAACACCTCATTCTTGTCGTACACGGTGCACTTTTACCATGTAGAATACTACAGATCAATGTAAGATCACTAAACTGTATAGTACTGTCAAACTTAAACACTAATTGTCGTTTTTCGCCGTCTGTAATATACCACGGACCTATATACAAGTCCGTGAATATACTAAAAACAAATTAAAAACTTCACATTTTTAAAAGTAATCCCATATATGATATACAACGGACAAATGTATCAGAGAAGGTAATTTTTAATCATTAATGTCCAAAGAAGGATTTTAATTAACGGTGGTAACCATAATTTGTTCCAAGCACCTACGGTATTCGGTAATAACATCAACAGTTTAAATCATAAGTCCAAAGCACGAGAATCTGATGGCACACAAGTTCAGTAGCGTGTATGGCCACCATGTGCGTTGACAACTGCCACACAACGCCTCCGCATGGACCTTGTGATGCTTGTGAACACATGATTGGGAAGACGACGCCATTGTTGCTGCAAAATGGTGCCAAAATCTTGCAAATTCTGTGGTTGGTTCTGGAGAGTGCGCAGACTTCTGCCAAGAGCATCCAAGACGTGTTCGATGGGATTGAAGTCGGGAGACCTTGACGGCCAGTCCATGACGTTAACTCCCGCATTCTGAAGGAAATTCCTTGTCAAAATTGCTGTGTGGGGTCTGGCATTGTCGTGTTGGAAGATCAAACCGGGTCCATGTGCTGCCATAAAAGGCAGAAGTTCTGGTGCCAGTACCTGGTTGCGGTAAGCAGCAGCGTTGAGGTTGCCACGGATGACAAGAAGCCTGGAACGTGCATTGCCACAGAAAGCACCCCACACCATGACACTTCCGCCTCGAAATCTGTCAACTTCCTGTACACAACACTGGGCGTAACGTTCATGACGGCGCCTCCATACCCTCGCCCTACCATGAGCAAATCGAAGATTCAATCGGGATTCATCACTGAAGACGACTTGATTCCAATTCCTCTGAGTCCATCGTAAGTGTCGCTGTGCCCACAATTGACGTTGACGTCTGTGTAATTGAGTCAGAATCGGCCCGCAGTATGGCCGTCGTGCTTGAAGGTGAGCAGTTCTCAGACGGTTTCGAACAGTTTGCGCACTCAGTCTACCCCTAAACAGTTCATTTCTGGTTGATGTAGCCGTCAAAAATCGGTTACGGAGGTGACGTAAGACAATCTGACGATCCTCTGCATGTGACGTCACACGTGGTCGACCTGGCCGAGGGCGATCAGCGGTGGTACCCGTTTGCTGTAGACGCGTCTGTAAATCATAAACAGTCCGTCGACTACAACCCATCGTCCTTGCGACTTCAGCTACGGACGTTCCCGTCTGCAACATACCGATGGCACGTTCACGTTGCACATTTGAAAGGCGTGGCATGATAAATGGCCGTAAAGACTTTTGTTTTCCTGTGTTTTTCTTTTTTTGTTAATGACTGCTAACAAGTATGGCTGAAAACACGTGCGGTATTATGGCCACGTGACCAGTTGCACGTGAAAAACCACTTTTGCCACTATAGTGCTGTGCACATGATTTTGATCGATTCACCTGCACAAAAACGGGTGTTATCTGAAGACAATACGTGGCCATTACTGTTTAAATACACAATAAGGGCCCACAATGATAACTGGTCAAAATGTTAAAATTTTAGGATTGTGAAGTTTTTAAATGTTCAGTATATATTATTAAGGTTTTCGCACAGCCTGGTTCCCTGGGTATGCTGCGCTGAAGCTACAGTGTAACGCCAGCGCAGCATACCCAGGGAACGAGGTTGGTTTTCGCAATACACAGATGCACTATGGGGTCGTTGTAGTTAATTGCCGCCATTGTTATATATGTTAGATTTACAAATGTATAGATATGTTTACATGGTTCTACTTATGTTCATTAGAAATATTTGAAACTTTATAAATTTCCTTTTTCAATTGATCAGGGAGGGGGGCGGGGATAGGGAGGTGGCGTTGCTGATGTTGGTCATGTAATACCTTGTGTCCATCATCTGATCTGGGTGGTGTAGTGCATGTACCATCACTCAATTATCGGCACAAGCAATACACCACCACATTCATCTCTAATAAGTAAACCTCTGTATGTGTTGGAGGGGAGGGGGGCGGGGATAGGGAGGTGGCGTTGCTGATGTTGGTCATGTAATACCTTGTGTCCATCATCTGATCCGGGTGGTGTAATGCATGTACCATCACTCAATTATCGGCACAAGCAATACACCACCACATTCATCTCTAATAAGTAAACCTCTGTATGTGTTGGAGCTGCTTGCCTGCATAGTAACGTGAAGTAACATACCTAAAGGTACAAAGCTCATGTGACACGCCATCGTATAGTTTGGGAAAAGAGCTGGTGGCAGTGTGTCACTGACTTCTTACGGTAATCTACTGTCATGATTTACGATATATGTAGTAACCAATTCAGTTGTGTTTACTGTATTAAAAGGTTGGCAGCACAGCAACAGCATGACTGGTTTGCCTCGTCCAGACTCGAATTCTTGAAGGCCTTGGTCATATAGCTGGAATATCGCTGACTGCGGTGTAATACATTATTCATTTCCTTTTATACAGATAACATAACAGACCTATATGTTTTAATATAGAAGAGCAGAAAATTATTATTATTATTATTATTATTATTATTATTATTATTATTATTATTATTATTATTATTATAAAAAAGATCCTCTTCTGTTGTTGTTACAGATAATAAATATTTACATCAGTGTAAACAGACAACAGTTGTTATAGTTTGGTTATACCCCATTCTTTTAGCAGCACCCTGTAGGAACGATGTCGCCCGTGCATGTGAAGGTCACAGGTGTAGTTGAAGCAGCCCTGGCGGAAGATCTCATTCACTCCGAGACACGTGCCGGCGATCGCACAACCTGTAGTAGATAATTATAGCAATTATAACATCCCATCACGGGTTCATGAACTTTGCACCCTTAATGCAAAAATTGTTTGGGTACTCTAAGCACTTTAAGGAACTGCGTTTTGTAAAATGGTCACAGTTGACAAAAACACAGTCAATAGACTAATATAGTGTACAATGCATGAAGGTAAATGTCAACGGCAATGTCGAAATGAGCAGAATGCAATTATAGTATACTGTGTGTAATCGCACCGCGTATACTCAAGCTATCATCCACTGGTTTGACTGGTCCGCACCGGATTAATGACAGGACGCCGTTTGGATAACTGAAAATGTTATGCACCTGGAAAGGTTAAGCGCCGCTTACCATATAAAACAAACTTTTCAATATATAAAGCAATATTATCAAATATCATCCTGTATTGATTCTCTGACGAAAAACATTCAATTTTTTCACGAAGTGACATATTCATACCGAATTAAAGGAACCGAAATCGATAACCATCATGACATGTTTTCTGACTGTCCCCGAGAATAGTTACACAATTAATACCCTTTCAATTACTGCTTCAGCTTTTTTTCATCATGTGCTATGAAACACACAGTGTTCTTGTCCCAACGTTTCAGCAGGTATGTCGGTGGTATCTCAGACATTTAACAAAATGACATCAATGTCATGTGTAGATATTGCCAAAGAATTACATGGATGTTCGAGGTATTAAAAGAAGAAAGGCATAGAGTATAGGTAAATTGTCAAACTGTCAACTGTCAAACACCTCATCAACAATCCTGACCACGATGTTTTCTGGCAACAAACCGACATTCTCACACCAAGATCAACCATTGAACTAAAGGAACCTTCAAGAAAGAATAGATATGCAAAGAGACCAGGGCATCTACCTACCCAATGTGTACTCTACCAACTTCTCAAAGGCTATCAAAGACCTGTCAAGCTTCCGTTATTCTTCCATGTAACTGAGCATTTTGGAAGGTCTAAGAAGAACTCTGCATCAATATTTGTAAGGATAGACAGTTTTAGTTGGAAATTTCAAAATTTACGTTTGATAAACAAAATACTATGTGTGACTTATACTAATGTTATTCACAGCAATACATACTTCCGTTTACGATATGGATTCCGATGACGCCATTGTTGACTTGGCACTGGAAGGTCAAACACTGGCTGGTCCAAGACTGACCAATGTCCATGCATACGCCGTTGTGATCACAGCCTAAAATACAAACGTGCTGGTTGATGAAGCACAAGTAGAGGCCACGAAGCGTTGGTTTGTAACAATAATAATTTTGCTGATCCCGTGTGATTCCGGGATAGAATTGGTCACCACCTATCCTGGTCGCACAATGCAACTTAATGGATCGGGTGGTCAGGTTCGGTGACTTTGTTGATTGTTTGTTATGGTTGTACTCCGACAGCGTGGATCGTCGCTCATAATATCAGTCACTGAATTGTTTACAAAACAACGAACACACGAACAATAAACTGTGTCATGATCTATACAATTTTAACAGCCAATCGAAGGTATAGAATGCAGTGTATTTACAGGGTCTGGATATATTTTCAACAGAAATGTTGTCATGTCGAATCTGTTTAATACGTTTTCGTGTCATACAAGCACATGAGACTCGCTTACAATCATCTTCCCGAGGCAAGTGAGTTAACTGGCAATAAAAGTCTAGTTTCCACCCTTGCCAAACTATGCTAGAATCCCTGTGCTCGATCGTAGCGCCACTAGTGGCTATTGCGAGTAATGTCCCTTCTATGCCTCTCCTACGAACCAATCAGATTCCACCTCTCGTATAACTCGCATTTGCTTCAAACAAAATGGCAGCGCCCAGTCAAGACGATAATCAAGATCTACATTGTGATAAAACGGGTCTAACGAAGGTCGCGAAGTGCATCCAATCATGGGAGCACCTTGATGACAAACATGAAAAGATTTGGAAAATATCTGTTGACAACGAGTTGGCGGTGCACATGATTTGCAAATCCTGCAATAGACCGAAATCTGCACGACAGTTTACAAACCGGATTTTGATTTGGTTGCACGATTTTGATTGGACTATGTGCAGACTCGTTAGTCCAGCCAAAATGTAACTCCATAATACCAGCCTAGATCAGCAAGGGTGGAAACTGGACTTTTATAGTCAGTCCACTCACTTGCCTCGGGAAGATGGCTTGTGGCTTGTGGTTAAAGCGTTCGCTCGTCACGAGACCCGGGTTCGAATCCCTAGTACATAGTTTCAATGTGTGAAGCCCAATCCTGGTGTCCCCCGCCGTGATATCGTTGGAATATTGCTAAAAGCGGCGTAAAACCACACTCACTCACTGTCATTGGATTCTGTCCTTGACCTTGACCTAGACTTACCGGCCTTGACCTGCTGCACAGCGCCACCATAACACGTATAGATGACACATGGACCGGCCAGGGAGGTTGTGAAATTTTCGCCCTGCTTATATATTTTGCCATCGACTTGACAAGTCCATCCTGTAACCGATTGCAATAAACGTATATTAGTAAATTACATAAACTGGAACAGTATGCATGAATGTAAGCATTCCGTTCCGTGACATTTTAAGATGTGTCAGGGAAGGAGGGAGAGTTAAATTACGTTTAGATATTAGCAGCATCTATGTACGTAATACTTGTGTGTGTGTTGCATTGTTAAACATAAATGTCAGAGCGATATTTTAAGTTGAAGCAGGATAAAACGGGGGGGGGGGGGGGGGGGGGCGCCGAGTGGTCCTGCTATAACGAATTTATCTTACCGACCAGTTATAATGTGACATTGGTAAAGAAATAACACAAAATTCAAAATTGATAAAAACAGATGTCCGATTGAACTGAGGTCAACTTGTGCTAGGTCACGGAACTTCCGTTGACTCGGAAAAGCGTGCGGAATTTTGCTTTGAAGCGGAGTGTTAGGGATTTATTCTGTCTTTCATAAATCCACGTGATTCCTGTAATGCCCCCCTGAGAAATATATTACATATGGCGGGTTACACATTATTCTATCAAGATCACGTGGACCAATCAGATCTCATCATTCTGACATGGAGGTATGATCAACTAAATTATATTTCTTTAAATGCGTATGTCTTGTACAAACAGTAGATCTTGACACCGCTAAGGTACACAATCGCTTGTATCACAAATCACAGATGTTGTTTAGTGATATTTACCGGAGTCTCCCGACGAGCAAGCAGCAAAATGTGGCCCAAACAGACAAATTGTTAACCCGAGCCAAACCAAGCTGAAATAGTAATTAGATGAAGCAAGACAAATGTTAAAGGGTTATTTATATTTGCCTTTGTGTTATTTAATAGAAGTATCCACGAGTCACATATATAATATGCTATTGCAGATACATGTATTTATCAAAATGATGCTAAACTTGGTTTTTTTTATTTTCACTATGTTTGTTTGTTTGTTTGTTGTTTAACGCTGGGATTTGCCAATGTGTTTTAAATACTTGGTAAGCAAAATGATAAAACCAAATTATGTTAAAATATAATCATTAACGTAAGAACGTTAGCTTTGAAAAGTTTATGATTCATCAGCATTTTACCTTTTTTTTTCGAACCCTTTTAAAAATCGATAGATCGCTTGAAAGGATGTAATTTGGTCTGTCACGACATAATCCTTATTGGCCATATGATATATATGGCACAACTCGAATTACGCATTACTCGATATTTGTTAAAAGTCTTTAGGACTTCGAGTCAACGAGATTCCTTGTACAGTTGAAGGCCATGGCCACTAATCCGAACGGAACAGTTCCAAGAAAATCGTCCGGATTAACACTGAATAGGATTAACGCAACCTGGGTAAGATCTAATGGCCTTTCTGTATGTGACTTCCACACCCCACACACCGCCACCCCCCAGTAATCGTCCGTAAGGCAAGGTTTCCGATTGGTAGAGGCACGGACTTAGATATTTTCATATAATCTGATTTTACTTGTTACTATTCTGTTTTAAAGTTGGACCCATTTTTCATTATTTATTATATACATGTATTGTGTAACATGATCACGACCCTTTCAATACTAAAACCATTCACAAATTGACCAAATATTTGACAAATACATTATGTACATAAACAATGAATTGACTGTTTAATGTACACTCAGTACCTTCAATATGTTGTAACATTCCGTAATTGATAGTGTGTAACATACGTGAAATATACTTCAACAAAATTGACTTAGTAAAGTGGCCATTTTTTGTCATGTACTGTGTTGATTGACGGGCTGAAGGTATCTGTCATAGCACACGTGTTGTATGCCTGGATTGTCCCATCAATTTCCAATGAAACTGAGTGCTAATCAAAACCTGTACATTAGCAAAAACGCCAGTGGCAAACAACAGCCATACCTTTGATGAGAGTATTCCATGGTTATGAAAACAGCTGGAACGTTTTTGTGTACGAAATCGACTTGCTGAACTACCTACACAAGCACCGAGACACCTGGTCGTTATCTTATCTAACTGTTTAATCTTGAACAGTTGTATCGGTATCTAAAATTGGAACAAAAGGTTGGATGTTTCATGGAACAGAATGTTTCATTATATTTTTGAGGTGAGCGAGTAAGATTTGATTGACGCCAATTTTAACAGAATTGCAGTTATATCACGGCGTGTCAGCTTTATGCGGGAGGAACATCCAATTGACGCAGGTTGTAGACACCTTGGTGGAACCCGCGAGCACGGGTATGGTGCTGTCTGATATAGAATAGTAATCTGGGTGAACTGAGATGCGGCCCACGACGCTGAATTCTTGAAACATTTGCTGTAATTTTCCTGACGTGGCATAAAAAAATATTTTCTCCCTCACTCGATATCGATATGTGAAAAACAGACACCAGAAATGGGCTTTACCGATTGTACCATTGTGGGGAATCGAAACCTGGGCTTCGGCATGACGAACACTTTAACTACCAGACAGCAATGTTGCAGACAGATCGGGTAGATATTGGACAGGCCAAGAACAGGCAGACCCAGGGTAACTACGCCCAATGAACACCGGTACTTGCATACTTTGCAACTTCGGAATAGGTTCCTGACAGCGATGTCTTCAGCGACGAATGCCTTAGGGCATATGGTTAGTCGACAGACAGTGGGCGTGTGACTAAGGGTTCAAGGAATAATGGCTTTCAGATCTTACAGAGGACAGTTATTGACAGCGCAACATCAAAGATTGAGATGGGCCCGGACTGTATGTTGCTGGCAGCAACGTGACAGGCAGAATGTCGTCTTCACTTATGAATGCCGATTGTGTCTGTTCTGAGATGAACGAAGGGGAGAACGAACGGCGGCATGATGCGTTCATGAGGTCAGGTCGTATGGTATAGGAGGTGTTATTGTGTGGGGAGGAATTTTTGGCCAGGTGTGAACTCCCTGGTTATCGTTAACGGAAATGTGACACCTCAGCGTTACATGGATAACATTTTTCGTCCGAATGTCCTACCATGTCCTAACAGCTGCCGCGTGGTGTCCTTTATCGGCATGACAACGCCTAATCCCATACACCCCGAATCGTACAGAACTTCCTTGTAGCCAACGTCAACGTGTTGCCGTGGCCTGCACACTTCCCAGACATGTCCCCCATAGAACACATCTGGGATGTCATGGATCGTCGTGTTCGACAGCGACCACATTCTCCAGCTAACCGACAAGAACTGATCATGGTTTTGCGCGTCTTGTAGCAAAGGGTGGTCATACACGCTATTAATGTGACGCATCATTGAACTTGGGCGATTTTAGATGTGTGTGCCCTTTGCCCATTGCGTATAAAGCTTGTTTTTACTACCACCTCAATTCGAGCAACTGTCATGCCAATATCGGATGATGTCTGACTGTCATTTTAACTGTTGATTTCTATGAGATTTTGATCATTTCAATACATGTTTTTTCATGCATCTATCTGTGGTTTTTAAACTAGAGTGATTTAAAAATATGGTTAAGTTTCTTTTGGCCGTCAGTGTAGTATATGTTGGTGAGGTGCAATTGAGTTAAACGTCGCGTCCAAGATTATTGCACTTACAAGCGACGTGCATTGACGTGTGTTAGTGTGTGGCTGCTTGTACTAGTCCGGACTGATGCCGATTTTTAGTGCTAGCACACTGAGATACCATGCCGCAGTTCAACATGAATACCCCACTCAGACACAGCGTACTGACTCCGAGCCGACCAGTCCTTGTTTTAACCCCTTAATGTCGAGCGCCAGACAGGGTAACAACAAGTACCATCTTTTAACGTCTTTTGGTATGACGCGGCCGGGGATCGAACCCCGGACCTTCCGCTCTCCGTGCGGACGCTCTACCACTAGACCACGGAGGCGGTCTGTAGTATATGTTCGCTGTTCAACAGTACTTCGAGTTAAAGGAAACCATCGAGCAGTTCTCTAAGACAGGAAGACCTAAAGTAACACGCGATCTAAAAGCGTCACATGGAAGGCTTTTTTTACACACGACACTGCTGTTAAAACATTCATTAAATATTGATGTATAGAAAAACCCAGCCAAGAGAAATAGCTCGAAAATGTAAGCCTCGCTTTAGGATGAAGAATGCACATCAAGAGGATTACTCCCATAAGAACTACAGCGGCCTGTTATGGAAACCAGTTGCATGAGATTATTTAGAAGCCAGTTTATTTTAATATCCTAAAATCACGTTATGCATTTGTCTTTTTAACATTTAATTAATCAGTTTTGGCTAAGAACAGTTGACTTTGTCTTGTCTCAGAAGGGGAAACCACAATTTTTCTTGATTGTTACCGTTACCAGAAGAATGTAGCAAGAGGAGAAGGGAAAGTGTGCTTCTTCCGTTTTTCACAAGCCATCTGGAGAAAAGCTCAAACTCTTGCGCGCCGTCTCATCGTTATGGTCGGCCGCCTGATGACGTCATTGGGAATCCGTGGCCGCTCGTCCGTCAGCACAGTTTCAGGTGGTGACTGTTCTAATGTGGATGAGGGTGCCTTCTGATCTGGCGATCCAGATGATCCGACAAGTTTTCCATGGAGTGGTGAGCGTGCTGACCATGGTATAACGGCGACGTTGTGCGCAGCCAAGAAATCCTGGACGACCCTTGCAACGTGTGGATAGCGTTATCAAGCTGTAACAGTATTTAATCCCTGTTGTTGTTGGTGAAGGATTGGTAATAGCGCAGAGTAGGAGAACGCCTTCCCTTGCCGTTGAGGTTGCCAAGGATGGTGACAAGTCCCGTCCGCTGGTGACCACAAATTCCCCCCCCCCCCCCCCCCCCCCAAAAAAAAAAAATAAATTAATAATATGTGCATGTATAATGCGCCAAATTCCATTCACCATGTGGATGCTTGTAGCGCTAAATTAGTATTACTCGGTCAATGGATCAGTGTGCACTCGATTTTCATTCTCAGCCCTCTGTGGAGCATACAAACCATCTCCGAGCCTGGCTTCTAGATCTACTTAACCGGTTCTTAGCACAAGCATAGGTTGCCGGAGTTACCCCAGAGTTAAGCCTAGATTTCATGGTAACATAGAATCTTGAATATAAATATTTTGTATTTGCGGCTGCTATTCGATTTAGACTAATAGTGGAGATAAGAGTACAGTCAAACCTCTCTTATCTCTTTTCAAAAAACAGTTTCTAGATACACGGATATCCGGAATCCGGAATATAGATGAATCATTGATCAATCAACTGACCAGAGCTACCTCCCCTACCCAATGGATAAACACGTGATATGGAATCATATGACTCACAGTTATAATGAAAGCATTCAGATGACTCACTGTGATATTACTGACATGATGTTTAACAGGCGTCACACAACATAAGCCACCCACTCACCGACACATACCCACCTCATTGTAAAATTGTGGAGAGTATATCAAGCCTTTGTTTCATTTTCAACGCTTTCAAATAAACTGTGGGGGCACTGGTGGTACCGTCGTCGATGGCCCCGCAATTCACTATGCAGAGTTGCGTCCATTTGGCACTCCAGAAACCGGATTGTAGGTCCGAATCCTGGTTCTCCCCTATCATGTTTCTAGGTTTGTCAGCATCATACACTTCCATCTGGATTCACAACACTCACTCACTCACTCACTCACTCACTCATTCACTCACTCTGTCCGCTAACCGATTCTGAATGTCTGAGATCTACACACTGATATATAAATTTGCTGAGTTTGACATGAGCATGCTCAGAGTTGAGTCTATTAATCAGTCTCTTTCACATATATCAACAGCTTGATAGACTGACATATCAAATGTAAAGCCACAAACAATATTAATTACATACAGTCCATAGTGTAATTGATATCTGCATACACACATTGTTCTACATATCGACACATTTGCAGCGCGTCAATCATTATTTATCTGGAGTGTTTGTCCACAGATGTTGGCATACATGCGCTGAATCCATGTAGTTTTATTTGAATTACTTGGTTTGTGGGTCCGCCGTTACATTATTTCACATATGTGCAAAACAATATTTCTTTATTCGTCATGTTTGTGATTGGAAGGATGTAACATGAACACTTTCATTACTTTATTTGCGCTTATTTCACCCGTCCAACAATCTAAACAAAATGTTTAATGAAATTTTTTTTTATATTCATTTTGACCATCGGCTTAAAAACATAACCCAGAACCAACTATTTCAAATATAGGCCTAATTGATGGTCCATGGTGGCGGGTATACATTTCTGTAAAAAGCAGGTGAATGGCAGGAACCATGTGTCTGCATTGTGTGACCTGATTGATTACGTGTCACTGTTATCCGAAGGCGTGTATCCTTGTCAGCCACTGATTTATGTGGAGAAACCCGGATTCGATTATTTAAGTGAGTGAGTGAGTATGGTTTTACGCCGCTTTTAGCAATATTACAGCAATATCACGGCGGGGAACACAAGAAATGGGCTTCATACATTGTACCCATGTCGGGAATCGAACCCGGGTCTTCGGCGTGACGAGCGAACGCTTAACCACTAGGCTACCCGACCGCCCTGATTGGAAGGAAGTAACCTGAACACTTTCATTACTTTATTTGCTCGTATTTCACCCGTCCAACAATCTAAACAAAATGTTTAATGAAATTCATTTTATATTCATTTTGACCATCGGCTAAAAAACATAACCCAGAACCAACTATTTCAAATATAGGCCTAATTGATGGTCCATGGTGGCGGGTATACATTTCTGTAAAAAGCAGGTGAATGGCAGGAACCATGTGTCTGCATTGTGTGACCTGATTGATTACGTGTCACTGTTATCCGAAGGCGTGTATCCTTGTCAGCCACTGATTTATGTGGAGAAACCCGGATTCGATTATTTAAGTGAGTGAGTGAGTATGGTTTTACGCGCTTTTAGCAATATTACAGCAATATCACGGCGGGGAACACAAGAAATGGGCTTCATACATTGTACCCATGTCGGGAATCGAACCCGGGTCTTCGGCGTGACGAGCGAACGCTTTAACCAATAGGCTACCCGACCGCCCCCTCGATTATTTAACGACACCGGTCAGGTCAGGTGAACCGTGGGCGAACTTTGACCGCCGAATCTCAAATGATATTTTGTTTGTTTGTTTGATACTAAACGCCGCACTAAGTAATATTCCAGCCATATGATGGCTGGAATATAAATAATAAGTCTGGATCAGACAATACAGTGATCGATATCATGAGCATTGATCTACACAATTGGGATACGATTACATGCTCAAGTCAGCGAGCCTGACCACCCGATCCCGTAAGTCGTCTCTTACGACAGGCATAGTCGCCTTTTACGGCAAGCGTGGGTTGCTGAAGACCTATTCTACCCCGGATCTTGACGGGTGGAATCTAAATGAAGGATAGGTGGATTCTTGAGCCAGTCAGACGTCAGTTTTGTAAAACAATTCGTCTTCAATTCTTTACCACCTCGATTTAGCCATTTCGATCCTAGAACCCTTTGGGGCAAAGTTGCAGTGACGCTCAGAAACGACAGGGTGTACAGATATCCAGAATAATATCCACCGGGTTTATTGTTTTGGCAATCGGAACATCCCGATTATATTCGTTTATATTCGAAATATGACGTGCTTGTCTGAATGCTACACTCGCTCGTACCGAGAAGCCTCGACGCTGATGAGCTGATCAGAAAGGTCCCTATACGCCACCTCCTATGGATATATCCTCGGCTCTTCACGGATATAGGTATTGTATTAGATTAAAATATCTGGTTTTAATAAGACTGCAAAGTCCGCTATTTGTGTTCATTCAAAACCGAGGACCAAGGAGTGCTACGTTCAGTGTCATCGAATCGCAGCCTACGAGAAATCGGCGACCGCCTGTCAACTCGATTCGCTAAGGCCAGGTTCACACAGTGCCGATTATGGCTCCCGTTTGAGATCAGACAGCGCTACGACACGAAAAGTGATCTGGAATGTCCTATCATTGTTTGAACGCAGTCGTATACGTTCGTAACAGAGTCCTACGGTTCGGGAATGTCCAGAGTGGTCGGCCAAGCACTCCCGACAGTATGGTGCGTCCTGTAACATTCGGGAAACTCGTGACTATGTCGTGACAGATACTGCTGTATCGGATCTAAATCGTAACAATGTCCTGTGTTGTCTGGAGGGTGTCCTGTGGATCAGGACGCTGTCGTGATTAACGGGCATGAATTGTTCATTGCCGTTTCTTGTCGATTGAGTCCAGATTGCGTCCAGATCTTGCCGAATGAGAACCGTCTTTGTCGGTTCACTGTCCGGTTACTGTCTGATCTCTGTAGGATCGTATTTGGGAGAATCGGAACGCTTTCGGGACAGTTTTCAAAGTTTTAAAGAAGTGAGTGAGTATGGTTTTACGCCGCTTTTAGCAATATTCCAACAATATCACGGCGGGAGACACCAGAAATGGGCTTCACACATTGTAAGTATGTGGTGATTCGAATACGGGTCACGTGACGAGCGAACGCTTTAACCACAAGACCACCCTATCGCCCGAATCCCATAACACTGCCGATGCCAAGACTGACATGTATATCAATTTTGCAAGTGCAATTTAAAACCCATTTCCATTATGTATGTCCCCGTGTAGATATGCCTATAATGGCATTCATTCCATTAGACTACCCGACCGCCCCAGTTTGAAAGGAAGGTCAATGTGTATGTGTGTATGATAATCACACAAAGCCGCCAGGCAAAAGAATATAAACACTTGAAAATTACAAACACATTTCAAACGTTATCAAAACGTTATAAGGCTGAAAACTGTCGCCGAAAGACTGTAAACTTAGGCTCCAAAACACATCTATGACACTCGTATCAAATACATCACCATCGAATGACCATTTCTGTTTGTTGCCTTTTAGCCACACTCAAACATGGGTGTATACTCTCTTTTACCCCGACAGTTTATATAGTAATAGGTTGAGTACTTTTCCCGCTTGTTACGCCTTGAGTTGATGCTTTTATACTTACATTAGAATTAACAGCTCTTTAACGCGTGAAAATAAATCAAAGCGATTTAATCTGACTTTAATATATTTATTACATTACTTGTCCTGCCGTCTAATCCGTTGTCACACATCACAGATCGGATGATGAATATTAACATTTCTTTATACTATAAGGAATTGGAATGGACTCTGAGAGGTCACGTTGGCCTTATATTATGTCAAGCGACGGCGTTTAGGAATGACAGCTGTAGTCTATAGTTGGTCCGTTGACTGCGCAGGTGCAGTGCGGCCACACGGTGCCAGCTATGTCGAACTCGAATGAGTCTCCGGGAGCGTGGCAGGATCCATGAACATCTTTGCACTCTAGACGTACAGAAAATTACAATTAAAAATACACCCTGGTCTTTTATCAGATAACTTTAAATACTCTTTCATCGATAAAAAGGTTAAATTCGTCCAATAACAAACTGTCGCTACTCAGAGTTACTGATTCCCTGTTCCGAGTGAATTCATCGTTGAATTTCGTATATCGTAGCTTGGGTTATTCTCTTGTCTCTCCTCCTTTTACAGAACAGTCACCCATGCCAACTTAAGCAAACTATACTCGTCCCCCTTATCAGCTCTAGCAGCCTATACTCATCCCCTCCTCAGCTCTAGCAGCCTATACTCAGCTTTGGGAGACTTGAGGGTTCGACTCAGCTTGACGGTTGCATAACAAAATCTTTATATAACCTTATATATATCTTTGTTTTATTTTCCTCCGTGGTCTAATGGTAGAGCGTCCGCCCGGAGAGCGGAAGATCCAGGGTTCGATCCCTGGTCGCGTCATCCCATAGGACGTTAAAAGATGGTACTTATTGTTACCCTTGTTGGCGCTCGGCATTAAGGGGCTAAAACAAGGACTGGTCGGCTCGGAGTCGGTACACTGTGTCTGTGTGGGGTATTCATGTTGGGGTATCCATGGTATCTCAGTGTGATAGCACTATAAATCGGCATCAGTCCGGACTAGTAAAAGCAGACACACACACGTGCATGCATGTCGCTATATAAGTGCAATAATCTTGGACGCGACGTTGAACCCAATGTCACCTCACCTTATTTTATTTTCAAATTCCAATAGACAGATATCACCCTACTCACATACATGAGTCCCAAAGAGGGGCACGTCAGCTGTTTGGTGACCTCTTAAAGGCCGACGTGAAGAAGAGTATTTCGGGGACTATGTGTTCATTATCTAAGTTGTGCTTCGCTGCATGGACGCGTTATATAGTCTCTCATAACCTCCGGGTGGTTTCTGTACATTAAGCCATTTACTGAATTATTAACCTGTTTTAATTCCAAGAAGAATCTGCATGATATAACTCATCTTTTTGAGGCAAGGGTGTCCACTAGCCTGTAGCAAAGTCTAGTTTCTACCCTTGCCACATCAAGGCCACTTTTCTGGGCTCGACACTGGCGCCACCTCGTGTAGGACATGAGTTGTGCCCCTTGTAATGAAAACGCGATATCCAATCAGATCGCTGTTCTTATCTCGTATGGGGACACGTGTGGCCCAGCCGTCTAAGGCGCCGCGATTCGCTGTGCAGAGTTGCGTCCTTTGGGCACGCCAGAAACCTATGATTGTGAGTTCGAATCCCGGTTCGCACCGATTATATTTCTAGGTTTGTCAGCACCATAGGCTGGGTGTTAAAAGATGAAAAGGTGGGCCAACAAAGACAGGCAGTAGTAAATCACTTTCATACGAGTGAGCGAGTGAGTTGGGTTTAACGCCGCTTTTAACATTATTCCTGTTATATCGCGGCGTGTCAGCTTTATGTGGGAGGAAAGCTCGAAGTGATGCAGGTCTAAGACGTTTACCACTTCGGTGAAACCCACGAGCACGGGTATGGTGCTGACAAACCTAGAAACATAATCGGGGCGAACCGGGATTCGAACCCACAATCATAGGTTTCTGGCGTGCCCAAGGGACGCAACCCCGCACAGCGAATCGTGGCGCCTTAGACGACTGGGCCACCCGTGCCCCCACTTCCATACGAAGGTGTACCAGTCGTGGATGTTGATTTTGTGAAACGTTCTCTGATATGTGCGATAGTCTTATCACATTTAGCACAGGAAGGCGGGCTAGATGTGGCAAGGGTGGAAACAAGACTTTGATAAATACTTTCAAGACTTTCTTGCGTCTGGAATAAGGATATGACTGTACAGAAAGTGAGACCTAAATAAACAACTTCTCTCTATATACTCACTGGCATCCACGTTTTCTACCGACAATGTTGTAACGCCGTTGGGGTTGTCAAGGGCGTGGCAGGTGTAGGTGTTGCAGTCTACCGTCCATCTGCTGCCGACATCATGACATGATCCGTCGTGGCGACATCCTAAACACAGAACATGTGAGGCCCGTACAAACAAATGTTCTTCAAGTGACCTTACGGAGATTTAACGAACGCTTCCGGTGGACCCTATATATCGCTCCTTTCTTATACCTGTATGTACCCTACCCTCAGTGAAAATACGAAAACGTTTAAGACTATTTTCATAAAGTACACAGTTACAACATCCCCTTTAATACCATTATAAAAGTAGGAACTACTGATATCTAATGTTTTGTTATAGTGAGACAGCCTCCATGGTCTAGTGGTAGAACGTCCGCCCAGAGAGGGGAAGGTCCGGGTTCGATCCCCGGCCGCATCATGCCAAAAAACGTTAAAAGATGGTACTTGTTTTTACCCTGCCCGGTGCTCGGCAATAAGGGGGCGAAAACAAGACTGATCGGCTCAGTGACCTTGCACTATAAAATTAGTCTGGGATAGAACAAGAAGCCACATACACACCCGTGCATGCACGTCGCTATATAACTGCAATAATCTTGAACGCGAAGTTAAACCTGATTTTACCTCAACTCGTTATAGTAAAGCCCCGTTAGTCTGGACCCCGATAATCCGGACGAAAATGATGCCTTCACAAACACACAGAGGCCATGGTTCAGCAATCCAGAAAAGGAAAAGGTAATATATTGGTCTGAACATTGTCAAACATGTTCAAATGGCTGGCAACTAGCCGTTTGGACCTTTGATATGATGCGTAATACATGAATAAATAGAATCATTTAGTTTAGATGTTACAAGTTTTTTAGAGTAACCTAACATATATGTTTCAAGTTTGTGAGAGTAACCTAACATATATGTTAGAAGCTTGTTGGGGTAACATGATATAGGTGTTACATGCTTGTTCGGGTGACATAACATATGTTTCAAGTTTGTTGGAGTAACATAACATATGTTTCAAGTTCGTGAGAGTAACATATTAACATATATGTTACAAGCTTGTTAGGGTAACATAATATAGATGTTACAAGCTTGTTCGGGTAACGTAATATACATGTTACAAGCTTGTTAGGGTAACATAATAAACCTGTTTCAAGCTTGTTCGGGTAACATAACATATATGTTACAATTTTGATGAGGTAACATAACATATATGTTACAAGTTTGTTAGAGTATCATAACATCCATGTTACAAGCTTGTTACAGTAACATAACATACATATTACAAGCTTGTTAGGGTAACATAACAGATGTTTCAAGTTTGTTTGAGTAACATTACATACATGTTACAAGTATAAAATGTGTTAGAGTAACATTACAGGTCTGTTACATATATGTTATGTTACTCTAACAAGCTTGTAACATCTAAACTAAATCATGCCAATTTGAATTCTATTTGAAAACAACACTCTTCGAGAGAAATTATGATGAAACGATAAACAATATCTTAGTCACGAAACAATATACATTTATTCACCTACCACTGTCTAACATTCCACAAAACAACAAACAACAGGCAAATAATGTATTGTGACCGATTTTTTCACATCAGGAAAATGAACTAGTTTCGACCTGGAAACTTCATTTTAAACAGAAACACATTAGAAACAGCGGTGTTTTCTAAACACGGGGCAGTGCGCCAGTATATATAAGCGTAACGAAACACCTGAATAGTGATGTGTGTGTATGTTTACTCTCAAAGTGACATGAAGACGCAGGTGTGCCTTCATAACTGACACAAACAACTTTTAAACTCCAGATTCATAATTGCTCTCGAAACCAGAACATCAGTTATCTCCACAGCCTAATTAACCAACTCCGCAAGTGTCAAAAAACGGTGAAACCCAAAACACATATTGAGTCGGAACGCTCACTATTTACCGTCATATAAATTAACATGTGTTGCGTCAGATGTATACAACAACAAGGGATTCTTAGAATTGTATCCCTTGTATAGCAACCTGTTTTCTTTACCTATCATGTAAGTGGTTCGTACTAACCGTCCCCGTGACCTACATTCCAGGGGAACGGCCAATACAGGCATGACGGGGTTTATCTTCTGTTCCGCTTTGATTTAAAGCAGCTCGTCTGACACTGATGAAATGGAGCATGTCTGGCGGAAGTAGCAGATGCACAGAAGTGGTGAAGAGGCAGGCGACTAAGTGCGGATGTTCCTATCATTCATACGCGGTGAAGGGACCCAAATCTCCGGGTTAATCTTACACGCCAAGTAGAATTAAATTTACCACTTTTAAAAGAGCGGAGGAATGGTTTTGTCAGTTCAAATAATGACTCCACTTTACGTAGCTTGTTAGACTTCGTAAGTTTCTGATACAGGAGAGGGTCTATATTAAGCTTAACGTTAACTGCAATGAATGAGGATGATCATGATGTCGTGAGGCGGCTCCTGGTCTGACCATGTACGAAGTAACCGCCTCTGGACGCGATACCTGAAGAGCGCATCGGACATACACTGTACAACAGAGGATAACCACTCAAATAAGGTAAGACTTTGATCATGTTTTGATCATATTTCTTTCTCTTTATTTTGCATTTCTTTTTTAAAGTGTTCTCTATTTTTAGAAATTTATTTTTACCCCAATACTTTATAACATTCCCTGTACCCAAGATTTAATTATAAGAACAATGTTACTGAATTTAAGGGCCAATTAATTCATCACCTAGTGGAGCCGGAAATATTTGCGAAAAAATATCCCCGCACTGGAAACAAAATTGCTCCCAATTTTCCATTAATTAAATAAATGTATATTTCATTGGTATTGGTGAATTATAAATAGATACGAACACCGTTGTGTCGACTTCGAAACGACTCAAAAAACTTCGAATTATATTATTCGAGTGTTTGAGACATCCGAAATAGATTCTCAACGCCAATCACTATTAATTATATCGTACACAGAGATAATTAGCCTATGAAAGCTCTACTCAATTAATGTTCCGGCATCCCCCCATAGATGGGATGCGGAATGTTTCCCGCTCTGCAAGTGAAATAGCATTTGTATTTTGACATTGATGGTTGTGCACGGTAGGTTCTCATATTTTCGGTTCGGCTAATCGGGGTAATTTTGTATTTGCATTTCTCATTTGGGACTACACAATTAGTTTGAAACAACCGAAAAATCGAACCATCCAATTTCAGAGGTCAAATAAATAAATAAATAAATAAATAAATAATGCAGTAAACTACGTTTGTAACGAACCCGTCCATTTGCTGTATATCCATGCTGTAAATGTGCTTATAACGAACTACGGTTATAACGAACTAAATTTTGTGGTCCTTTTGAGTTCGTTATAACCGTAGTTACATAATAATTTCTATTTATTTATATATTATAATATTTGATGGTTACGTCTGGTATAATTTATGTGGACCACAGTCTATTTTAATTTAAATGTCTTACATTGTAAAACTGTGAGGATTGCACTGGGGGCAAATGTGTAGTTGTATTCGGGTCATCTGGTTGGTGATGGCAATGTTGCTATGTGTAACAAAAAGCGCATATGTGTTATGTCAGACATACAGTGAAACCTCTTAAATACGGACAGTACCGTCCGAGGTCAAACTGACCAAATGACCGAATCACCACACGAAGAAATGTCCCTTTAAACATAGGTTTAACGAGGCCCACACTCGGGCAAAGATGTGGCGACCACGTTGTCATAGTAACACTCCAGTAAACACGATCTGCAATTTTTATGAGATCTGTTATTATTTTAACATGTAACATTTTCATAGTCGCTGTGTTTCATTTATTACTCGCGTCCGTGGTTTGAAAACATATTAACATTGTCATATAATACAATTTGGCATTTATTCCATTCTAAAAGATTGTTAAACGATCTTTTCCTTTACAAAATAAATAGCAAAATTCGCTGTTATTCATACCTAACGGTTGATAGTTGATATTGCATAGATACAGTGACACCCCATTAGTCCGGACCTCGTTAATCCGGAAACCCCTGGAAACATTCCCCGTATACAAAGTGACATTACTCCGTAAACATCATTCGTTAATATGTACATCATATTTCCCCGCCGATTTCAGAGGGAAGACTACTGAAATAACGGATTTTCTCTGTACTTATTATAAGGTGTTTTTGCATACGTTAACAAAATTCCTTTCAACTCTACATTAGCGGATCAAATTGTCGTTATCACAGCTACCATCAATAATAAATCCTATTATGTTCACCCTTTAAATTAAGGTTAACAGTGATCGATATATTACTTGGGGAAATGTTAGAGGACTCGATATGTGTCAGCCAAGGTTAAAGCCCTTCTGTTGCTGATATTTATGATATCGATCGGCAGAGAAATCGATTCAAATACAGTGTGGGTGTCAAGACGCCGATCATACATCACGATAACAATAAACTCATTCAACAAATAATCTAAAGGCCGCATACACCATCTTGTAATAATGACCTCCATTAATAGAGGTCGTGTCTTAATGCTTAAGAGGGCGGTCGGTAAGCCTAGTGGTTAAAGCGTTCGCTCGTCACGCCGAAGACCCGGGTTCGATTGCCGACATGGGTACAATGTGTGAAGCCCATTTCTGGTGTCCCCCGCCGTGATATTGCTGGAATATTGCTAAAAGCGGCGTTAAACCATACTCACTCACTCATAATGCTTAAGCGAGGTACACATACCTATAGTTTGTTTGTGTCTTTTACCACGTACTCAGCAGTATTCTAGCTATTTGACATCAGCCTGTGAATATTCGAGTCCGGATAAACTTATAGTCTAGTGTTTGATTTTACTATCAACTCCCACGCCGTTGTGGTACGATGACATGCCAAGAAAACCCACTCGGTGCGTATGAATGACGTGTTTACATACACACTTTTGAGTATATGAATTAGGCCATTTTAGCATTAATACATTTACAAATAAAGGCGAGGGGAAAGTGTCTGTTTGGCGGGGTTTGATGTGGTTTGAAGGGGTTTGATGGAGACTAATTAGGGTTTGGCGGGGCTAGATGGGGTTTGATTGGGTTTGGCAGGGTTTCATGAGGACTGATGGGGTTTGGTTGGGTTTGGCGGGGTTTGATTGGGTTTGTTGGAGATTGATGGGGTTTGGCAGGGTTTCATGGGGACTGATGGGGTTTGGCGGGGTTTGATTGGGTTTGATGGAGATTGATAGGGTTTGATGGAGTTTGATGGGGTTTGGCAGGGTTTCATGAGGACTGATGGGGTTTGACGGGGTTTGATTGGGTTTGTCGGAGATTGATGGGGTTTGATGGAATTTGGCGGGGTTTGATGGAGACTGACGGTGGGGTTTGGTGGGGTTTGATGGAGTTTGATGGGGTTTGGTGGAGTTTGGCTAGTAAAACGTGCTTCCTACCGTGCTTCTGTGGATACAACCCATAGTACTGTCCCCTCTGTTCACACTTTATTATAGAACATCCGTCCATAGTGGTAGCGTTGGCAGGTATGCACTGGTCGTTTCTGGGGCAGCCTGAAAAAAGATTATTAAAACTACCGCTATTTCTGTCCACATTTTAATTCATGTATGAGAATCGATCATTTCATTTGTCAGATCGAGGTTTAACGTCACGTTCAAGGTTACTGCACGTGCATGTACGAGTGTGTGAGTGCGTGCGTGCGTGCGTGCGTGCGTGCGTGTGCTGACCAGTCATTTTTTATCTCCTTCATGGCGGGCGTCAGACCTGGTAAGAACAAGTACCATCTTTTAACGTCTTTTGATATGACGTGGCCGGGAATCGAACCACCGAGCAGACGCTCTGTCTACCAGACAACGGAGGCGAATTAACGTGGTTTCACCGAGTATTTGTCAGCTTCTGACACGGCGTAGAGCCCCAAACCACTGCTTCGCCCATCACTGTTTTACGGGCAGTCTTCAAATGCAGGCGACTTACACCTAAACAATCAGTGCAGTTGAGAGGCATGTGGTTGCATTCACACGCCTCAACTGCGAAACATCAAAGGATATGTCTGAACCATTAAGAGGGTCAGGCTCCATGGGCTGTTGTGCATATCCAGTATAGATCTAGAAGATGTAATTACTGCCTTGTGCATGGAACTGAGATACTGTCTCTAAGCCATTAGAGTAATCAGAAACTGTTATGCTTTTGTCAAATGTGAGCTCCGAATAAGCAAATGTGATTATATTAATAATATAAAAGAATGAGGTAGAAAAAAAGCCCTTTGATCCACTGGAACAGTCGATTTACGGGAAACTTTGAAATATATGTAAGAAAGTTATCAGACATATGAACCTAACATTCTTTCCTTTCGTATACTTTGTCTAATGATCCAGTACATACGTATGGCAAATATGAGTTTAAAAGAATTATTTTAGTAACAATCTAACAATGAACATTTCCTTCACCAAAGATTGCCGTTTAACCATGTGTCTGTACTGTGTTTACCGACACCTCCTAAGGAAATCAGATTTGTTTATATTGAAATAGTTTTACAATGCTTCAGGAAATCCTCTGAAATCGGAATGTTTTAGCCTTGCCTGCACATTTAGTATGTTACAGGAACAAAAGATTCAAAAGTTATTCTCCCTTGTATGAACACATGTGATCATTTTCAAAACGATTTCTACATGTTTTGCCTATTTCTAACATTATGTGGATTCCGCGGACCCCAAAGCTCAGCCCACATGTGTACATGTCCTCTGCTGGAACTGCTAATTCACTCGGGGGTAGTTTCACATTAGAGACACGTGTCAGTACATGTGAGCCGTGCGTGTATAAGAATGATATAACTATAGGTCCATCACACAGAGTTGTTCGAGCACTCTCACCGTCACGCCAAACACCCAGGTCCAATCAAAAAATGGCTTAAATGTGAATTCTGGTGTCCCCCGCCGTAATACTGCTGAACTTTTGATTAAAATCAGAATATTCCAGAGAATAAACGACAGTAACCTACCCCAGCTGGAGAGTTGAAGATCGGGGAATTCTTGTGTGCCCAAGAGCACTTTGATGCATCTGTACGTGAGGCAACTGTGGGTCCACACACCTCCGATATCAACACAGGACCCGTCCCGGGCCTGACACGCTGAAACACACAACAGTTCATGCATGGAAGATACAGAACATATCAGAAGTATAACAATCACACTTTGTGGATCAGCGACAGACAGGATAGAAAAATACTTGTGTCATCAGCTTGAAAGGGCGTTTTGGTTTGTTGTATAGTTTATTTTTATTTTATTTCTTGTTTTGGCGGAGGGAGGATTGTTTGGTTTATATTAGGTTTGTTAATTTGAATAATTCAATGTGTTTTCATTGTTGATATTTCTGTTGTTTAAATTGTTATTTTATTTTTAAAAATAATGTTGTTTTTTTATTTTAATTATTTTTTATTTATTTTATTTTATTTTTATTTTATTTTATTTTATTTTATTTTATTTTATTTTATTTTATTTTATTTTATTTTATTTTATTTTATTTTATTTTATTTTATTTTATTTTATTTTATTTTATTTTATTTTATTTTATTGGGGGGGGGGGATGTTTTTTGTTTCCGTGTTGTGGTGTTGTTGTTTAAGGGGGGAGTTGTTGTCATTGGTAATGAAATGTCATTGGTATTTCGAAATATTGTTACATTGTTCTGAATTCATATATAATGTGGAATCGTGAATATATACGCTTTTTCATTCTAAAACAATTTGAACTTCGGAAAGAATTAACCGAAAGTAAAGTATAAGATTTTAAAACATTTGCATCAAAGAATTTTTAAAACAATAAATTCTATTTGACAAATATACATGAAAAAAAACTATATCAGAAACTTGAAAAACGCAAATATAGTATATAGAATGATTAAAGATGGTATTTCATACATTTCAACATTACTATTGTAGATGCCGCATATAGTACGCAAGGGTGTTGTAAAGGCTAACCAATTATTTTTTATTTATTTTTTTTATTTGTAAATACGACGGACTTTTCATTTTCGGTCATATTTTAACAAACAAATGTATTTTGATATCACACTGACATAAAATGCATCCCATGGTAATATATGTCTACGGTCAATTCATGAACCATACGCATCCTTTGAAGTGATTCTTCTTAAAATGTTATTTTATACATTTCAACTAAATATGAAGTGAAAAGGTCCTCACTCATGATGCGAAACAGACAATGTGTAAAGGGAGATAACTCTATTTAGCATATTGTCAAATGAAACCCAATGCTCAAGACATGGCCTCCACTTTAAAGCCATATACAGAGGAAATGTGACAGTACACTGTTTAGACATAAATCTACAGCGTCCGAAAACGATTCCAGGCGAACGTGTGTATTTCCTTTTATCAAGGCAGTACCTTTATATTCCGGTAAATATTTCATCTTATTACAGACAAATATCACCATTTATATGAACTGCACCTTAAATGTTCAACCCAAGACATATTATATGAAATGGAATGTACGTCACGTGATCAAATGACGATCTCTCGTTGGACAAGAGACCCCAGCTGTGATTCTGTTGCATTAATGGTTTCTATTTTAATAAGCCCTGATGTAATGGAATGTTTATTATATTTCTAATGACAAACAAATAGGCATTTCTCTGAAAAAATCGTGGAGTATCACCGACAGTTATCTTTGAAGGGTGTAACTAACATGTGTCGAGTCTAAAAAATACGCCTGCTTATTTTAAGCTTATAAAGAGAAACGCCCCGCCCCTTAATGGTTTATGGCCCTATGCAAGCAGAGAAAAATATACCCAGAACTCTTTTAAATATGGGTCTTTAGATACTGAGCCACTGGGAGTGTCAAGAATAGAAAATAACGTAGATTAGAGCAATAATGAACCCCATTTTGGTGATGTGATTTGAGATGAACATGAGTTTCCGTCGCGTCCAAGATTTTTGCACTTTTATAACGACGTGTGTGTGTGTGTGTGTGAGAGAGAGAAAGAGAGAGAGAGAGAGAGAGAGAGAGAGAGAGAGAGAGAGAGAGAGAGAGAGAGTGCTTGTATTAGTCCAGGCTGATGCCGATTTGTAGTGCTTGCCCACTGAGATACCATGCCCCAGTTTAACATGAATACCCCACTCAGACACAGTATGCTGACTCCGAGCCGACCAGTCCTTGTTTTAGCCCTTTAATGCCGAGCCCCAGACAGGATAATAACAAGTGCCATCTTTTAACGCCTTTTGGTATGACGCGGCCGGGGATCGAACCGGGCGGACACTAGACCACGGAGACGGTCCCCCTTTTGGTACACCAGATGCCCGGCGCTGTTAGTGGTATTCCGGATACCACAGTGCAGTACGATGGATGCCATGAAATGTGTTTCTGGTATGCCAATATTTCAAAATTGATATATATTTTTCGTCTTTTTCTTCTTGCAAAGCGTGACAAATCGTCAAAATATTTAGCCCTTGTCGTATGAGCGCGCATGGTCATGTATTCTCTGTGAAAATCCGTCTGTGTATACTGACATGACTCAAGAGTTATAAGATCGGATGCCAAGACAAATTATGTGGTATGTAGGATGCCTAGAAGGTGGGGTTTGGCACCCTCGATAATGGTAACTCCAGATTATAACCCCTTAATGTTATCCTTAGTATCTGTTTTTACGGAAATCTACGTCGGTGTCTTTAATCCCTAATCCTAATCTAACAAAAATCTGCTTTTAATTGCTTCTGCATCCCAAGTGATGTTTATGTTTACCGCTGTCGTCCACGTTGTAATGACGTTCAAAGTGTCTGTAGGCGTTACAGACGACAGACAGCCGGAAGTGTTGTTTATCACCGGCGCTATCCCTCTTGCTATAAATAGATCTTGTAGTTTACATTGAGAGCACACAGTTAGTGCTTACCTTCCTGGAGATTGCGGAAGCCGATGTTGAAATTGCTCTTGATGCACTGTTGCCGGGAACAGCCGATGGTGCGGATGTAGCCCTCGGGGCGACAAGTGCCGCTCTGGTCCTCGCAAGCTGGGTGGAAAGAATGGTCAGTTTCATTGTATGAATGAATGAATGAATGAATGAATGAATGCTAATTCAGCTTGATACGTCTACCCTTACTGCACACAAGAATGGTCAGTTTCATTGTATAAATAAATAAATAAATAAATAAATAAATAAATAAATGAATGAATGAATGAATGAATGAATGAATGAACGAATGAATGAATGAATGAATGAATGAATGAACGAACGAACAAATGATAAATAACTAAATAAATGCTAATTCAGCATGATACTTTAGGGTCTACCCTTACTGCACACAAGTTATGATTAAAATATGAGATATATACTTTTGAGTTTTAATCTTCATGGATAACGTCATATTTTGGTTGGACAAAGGCTGATATTGAAACGGTATACTGTAGTCTAACATGTTCAGTCTTAGAGCACCAAATTCTATCTCATAAATAGAAAATAGAAAGAAACCAGAAAAAGTTAGGGTTTTTTCGAGAAAATGTAAAGACAGGATCGACAGATTATGGATTTTAAAGCGATGTTTCGGTGCATGTGTTGGTACCTTTCTCTAGCCTCAGTCTATCTTCATCATCAAATGTTGCAAATAGGTTACAGAAGCTGGAACTATGAAATCACATCGAAAACTTGACTGGGAATACTGACCGAAACGAATAGGATGGTATCCTCCGTGTTCACAGATGTATACGATGCAGGGGCCGCTCATCTTGGTGGTGAACTCGTCCCCGTGCTGTATCTTGATGCCGTCCATCATGCAGTGGCCATCTACCGGTCATGCAGGAATCAATAACATTCTCAACTTGGAAACATCAGAACCTCGCTATTTCATACACCTTTAATACAACCGTCTTTAATCTGGCTTCGTCTATGCGGAAACCTCATCTTTCGAACTGTTACATGAAGGAGATTTCAGGTTCTGCACGTAGATTTTATACATCAGACCCTCGTTAATCCAGACCCCTCTAATCTAGCCTCATTACTCCTACTTCGTCTTTGCGGACACCTCACCTTTGAACGTGTTTCATGAACGAGTTTAATAGTCTACTATTATATGTTATACATCAGAACTTCGTAAATATAAACCCTTCAATACAGCCCTCACGTGTTTAAGTAGAAACCTCATATGGACGGTGTACAGTAAAACCCTGTTAATCGAACACCCTTTAATCCAACTCTCATTAATCCGACCTCGCTAATACTGGAACTTCACACTTCAAACTGTCATTGTAAGGTACTTCGCGGAGTTTGAAGATTCTGTTATCAGTAAAATCTATTAGCGTGAGTGAGCTGCATGGGCCAGTTTTCCGGTTATATCACGGAGTCTCAGCTTGATGTGGGAGGAAAGTCCTGACTGATGCAGCCACTTTTGGACAAAACCGACGATCACGGTGTAGTGCCGACAAACAAGAGTCATAGCATGGGCGGATCCAGCAATTTTAAAAGGGTGGGGTCCCAAATATCTCAAAATCCTCTCCCAGCCAATTTTACTGCCTACAACAAATTACATTTGGTTTTTATACGGTGAGACTCGGGACCCCCTCCCCCCCCCCCCTGGATCCGCCTATGATAGCTAGGACAAACCATGGATTCGAACCCAGGACCATAGCAGTCTGGCACATCTAAGGGATGTCAAACGATTTCCAGATGGTCCAGTTCTCATTGAAATGGCGATAATCGCATACGAGGATTAACGGGGTCAGAATTAGCAGGACATTCAGTAGCCCAGAACTTGAACATGTAAACCGATTATGCACAAAAGCACGTTTTTTTCATCACTCGTAAATAATCGAGTCTGAACCAGACTATCCAGTGACTGACATCAAGAGCATCCATCCAAGCAATTGGGATCCGATGACATGCATCAACCAAGTCAGCGATCCTGGCCACCCGATCTCGTTAGTCACCTCTTACGACAAGCATAGTCGCCTTTTACGGCTAGTATGGGTTGCTGAAGATCTATTCTACCCCGGGTTTTCACGGGTCAGTATTGTTACTAAAAATGTACATTCAATCACTTGTTGAGTAACATTCAAGCGTAATGTATAATTAACAGCGACTCAGACACAAGCATACAAGTCAGCTAATAGCGATGGTAGTTTAAGATGTGGACTATGAGTCTGAGACGGTTGGTTGTTGGTTGGTTGGTTTGTTTAACGCCGCACTCAGCAATATCCCAGCTATATGACGGCGGTCTGTAAATAATCGAGTCTGGACCAGATAATCCAGTGATTAATATCATGAGCATCGATCCACGCAATTGGGATCGATGACATGCATCAACAAGCATAGTCACCTTTTAAGGCAATCATGGGTTGCTGAAGACCTATTCTACCCCGGAATCTTCACTGGTCGATTCTGAGACGGAGAGTTTTTGGCCCGAGCCTAGGCTATAAGCACTGAAGAGTGGATTTTTAAGGGACAGATTTGAGCCTGCTGCACCGGCATTGCGAGAACCCCCCATGGCGATATCGTGGAACAAGCTAATGCGGTAATGCTCACGGTCGTGCGTCGCCGCGGCCTCGAAATGAGGTTTGGCGACAGCGACGGTAACAACGCTCAACAGGGTAACCAGTAGCAGTGTTCGGCGGTCCATGCTGCAACATATTATAACAATCAAATCATTATCTGAATAGCATTGAATTGAAAGTAATCATGATAATGATAATTATAACGATGGGATAATAATGATCAAAATCATAAACGAATTGTTATTATTATTATTATTATTATTATTATTACTACTTCTACTACTAATACTGATACTATTTCAGCGAAGCAATTAACAGTTAAGATTTATGTGTGCGAATTTTACTGCTAGCGTCGATACAAGCTCTATAAGAATACTAAGTTAACTTCATAATTATGATTATGAGTAAGTTTGTATCATTTGTATATTACCTCACGGGGTATATGCGACATCATAGACCTTACCTTGTGAAGTGGGAGTAGGAAAGTACTCACTGTCAACGGGGCACCCATTTTATAGAGACCTGTGAGGATGGGTCTGTCAATACAGTAACAAGTGCCTGTAAACAACACCTCGTGTACCGTCCGAGATCTGCCACATCAAACGATATGTATTATAAATCTCCATGATTTAAAAGTGGATATTGAAGGACTCGAGGGGTACATAGGGGTAAATAGGTTTCACCGAAGTGGTAAACGCCTAAGACCTGCATCACTCACTCACTCACTCACTCACTCACTCACACTCACTCACTCACTCACTCTTGCCGTAAAAGGCGACTGTGCTTGTCGTAAGAGGCGACTAACGGGATCGGGTGGTCAGGCTTCCTGATTTGGTTGATGCTTGTCATCGCATCCATATTGCATGGATCGACTCTCATGATGTCAGACATTGGATTGTCTGGACCAGACTCGATTATTTACAAACCGTCATCATATAGCTGGAATAATGCTGAGTGCGGCGTTAAACAACAAACACTCACTCACTTGCTCACTCAGTAGCAGGATATATAGCTTGGTGTCGCTCTACTAGTGTGCGCCATTCCTGGCTGATCTAGCCCTGGATTCGATTCCCAGATTCGCGCTGATTATGATCCTTGGTGTATGGGCACCCGATTATTTTTAAGACTGAGGTTACACTTTAGTTAGTATATTTGTTTATTCATAATACTGAGAGGCCATAGGCCTATAATACATGTTACATAGTAAAGGGTGTACATACATTTAAAAGGTGACACATTTGGAACTTCTTAGCTTCATAGCATGCAATATGTACATTGACAGCTTTTTCGTTTTTACTACATTCATACTTGACATTAATGAAACAAATTTATGTGGACTTCGACAACGGATATAATATTTATCACTGAACTTTTTCTGAGTTCAGCATACAACAGTCAAAGTAGGAAGAAATGGTATTCATTTTCTACAGTGTTTAAATCACAAAACTAACAAATTATGTGTTCTCTCACGACCCCCATATATCTTCCCGTCTCGATAAAGAGTTCGTGTGAACCACATCTGAATCTTGCAAGTGCAATTCGAAATATTATTAGTGTCACATCTAATAAGTATTGCTCTCCACAGAATCTGTTTTTAAAGAGGGAATAAATTGATAGTTTCTTTGATATACTTTAGTTACAAAATTATCCCACTGACCAAAAATTATGATTAAATATTTATACCATGGTTCTATCAATTCCAATACTTGATTGTGAAGACTTCAATATTCTGTTCATTAGCAATGGGTTTAATACATTACTGAAATTTTGAAAACGAAATTTCTCAATTCAAATCACAATTTCAAAAGTTAATTGTGTTGTTTATACGTTTTAAAAGTTTATTTATTATCTATGATTAACTTCATATTAAAACTAAATCTATATACGCTTCAATAACATGAGTTACAGTATAAAAAGAAAATGCAAGCACTGCTATGTTCTTTTTAAGTGTGATTTATTATCAAATATGTCTCATCACCATAAATAATGCAAGTATGTGCTATTCATAGCGTCTATTGAAAAGTAACACTTTAATATCAGTCTTTCATGTATCCCTGCTGTGTAAATTACCATATACATGTATTTTTATCTGAAATTTGGACTTTGTTCTCGCCAGAGAGATTAGACATAATAAGTAAGGTCAATAGAGATCATGGGAAGTACGAGGTTACGTCTAAACACGAATCATCTACAGTGAAACCTCGTTAATCCGGATGATGCAAATTGTCGTTAACAAATACTGAGAAATATATACAATGCAATACAAAGCATGCAGAGCTTTTCTTGGTGTTTGTGAAATACGCCTTGTCCCGCTTCCAGGGGTGATATGGGTTCGTTAGATCCGCAGCACAAAGTTTATATTGAGGCTGCAAGACTTTGATGTTGACTTGAAAGAACATCTGATTCCAGAACTTTTTCCAAAATCCACTCCTGGTCAAAACCTAAAGGTAAATCGCTGGGAAAGTAAAGTTTTAAAGGTTTTTAACTGTTTTGGACTGAACTATGTTCTCGACGCCCATGATAAGCCCCCTTGGTGAGGTTATAAGCAACTATGCACCTGGAAGGAGTGAAATATAACAAGTGGTTTCAGCGTGTTCAGTCTCAGCCAAAGCTCAGGACATGTCAACTTTTTATCAGTTTTATCAACAAAATTGTATGGTTACTAGCATAGTATTTTAACCTCTCTTCGTTAATCTAGAAATAGAAACGGGATAATACAGAAATCCCCAAACTCCCCCGATAGGTTTTGGAAATTCTGTACTATGTCGAACAAAAAAAATGAAAAATAAAATCCAAATGAGCCCAGAACAATTCATCTATACTTTACTCACTATATTTAAAACAACAAATTTATTAAACTTATGCTCAAATATGTTTCATAAATTGTTTTTAAATATTGTATGGTCAAATATGTTTCACAACTTGTTTTTAATTAAAACTTTGTATAAATAACTAAATTGTAAATATATGAACTTGGTCTCGTCGCTATATGGCTGAAATAATGCCGATGCGACGTAATTTTTTTATTCAAACAGATGATAGATAGCTTTACATTAAAAATACAAAAAATATCATCTGCAATCAATTTTGCCCTCTATTGGCTTCAGATGACTAGTCGGATATGGATAAATGCCTGAACAATATGATTAATTCTGAACTGAATACACATTCTGATAGAAATGTAGTCTCATAGTAACATTACTTTAACAAATTAGCTTGAATATATAAGTTTGGGATGTGACTGATTACTTGTTCTTTGTGATAGAAGGATAGTATAGGTTAGCCTAGCGGTTAAAGCCTTGACTCCTCCCAACGAAGACAGGTTTAGTTTCCACGTTTTCACACCATCTCGCTGTGATATGGCTGAAATTTGTTGAAAGCGGCTTGACAACAAATTCGCACATAAATCCTGAGATACGAACGTTTTTACACCAGAAGAAGACAATCCAACTAACGCTATGATTACGAGATGGAAGATGGTGTCTTTTTTCAAAAATGTCCCTGAGCTTAACATGAGAAAAACAAATCTGCATATGATAAAGTTTGGAATATCATTTTACAGTTGAAAATATACTGCATAATATACGCGTGACACTAAGAATATGAGAAGAAGACTAATAGGTTTTTTTGTGTTCTGTTTAAATTTTCTCTGAGCTTTTTAGCATAAAACTATGATGACGTTTTGAATTACAGAGAGATCTTTCTATAGTTGAAAACATAATTGTATAATATATTTACATTACACCACAAATTATCTACGTACCGTCATGTGCGTGGTATAATTTCACAATGATTCACCTTCACATGCTCTTAACAATTTGCATCCTATTATTAGTGTGGGAAGATAATTGAACAAAACCAATCCCCCAACAACCATTTAAATACAACGATGTCAACTCATTCCAATTATAACAAATTCATACGCTCATGCACACCGAAATGTTCCTCTAAACGACTTTAATTTTAATTCACATCCCCGACCTTAAACACAATGCGTTATGTGCAAACAGTCAATCGATCAGGGAAATGGCTCAACTTTGCACGTGCTGGCAATTCACGTAATGGCGTTGTTTGCACGTGAGGCATGAGTTTATACGTTACCTTTGCCCCACGCTGCATAACACCAGCCATGGTTGCCTCATCGCGACTTGCCTGCATTGGCCGTTACGGCGAGCGGAAGCCTAAATTAGTGACATTTGCTTTATGAGTGACAATATGAAAATAGCAGGAAATGCTCGTGGAAATATGTATCGTTTACATTAGACCTTTGAGAAGGGAAACCATGTAATGACGCTGGACAGCAGCACATGACAGGAATACCATTAGACGCATAGTTTTGTGCTTCAAGACAGAAACGGGTTTATTGGCGAACATTTTGTTTTCAATATTTATTTTTGTAATAGTGAGGGAGTGAGTAAGGTTTAATGCCGTTTTTTAATAACACTTTACATATTGAGAATCGAACCCGGATCTTTGGCGTGAGGAGCTATCTTTTAACCATTGGGCTACCCCAATGCCTCATTATTGTTACATTTATATATTAATGCTGAAAATACTACAATGTTGTAGACCCGTGAAGATCTGGGTTAGAATTGATCTTCAGGAACCCATACTTGCCCTGAGAGGCGACTATGTTTGTTGTAAGGGGCGACTAACGGGATCGGGTGGTCAGGCCTGCTGCCTTGGTTGATGCATATCATCGTATCCCAATTGCGTGGATCGATGCTCATGATCTCAAACACTGAATTGTCTGGTCCAGAATCGAATATTTACAGGCCGCCGTTATTTAGCTGGAATATTGCTAGGTGCGGCGTTAAACACCAAACAAACAAACAACGTTGTTTTTTTAATTCACTGTGAATTCCTAAAATAAGTTAAGGACCACTCGATTATTTCATATTATTATAATAAGTCTGTCATGTCTAGTAATATGAAGGAATGGGGTGACACTTTACTTCCTTTGAGTAGTATATGTTGGGTATGTGGAGAAATATATGTCTTGTTCTTTTGTTAAAACAAACAAATCAGGTTTTATGTGTCTCGTTGCATTGACCCTTAAACTGAAGCTGCAGTACATTGATCTGAAAACTGATGTCAAACTCAATCGAGTGCGTATACCAATAGCCAGACGTTTAGTAGCCTAATGGGTAAAGCGTTCGCTCGCCATGTCCAAATTACGGTTCTATTCCCAACATGGGTACAACAATAAAGCCAGTTTTAGTGTTTCCGGTCATGATATTGATGGAATAATGCTAAAAACCAAACACACATAATCATCAAAGATTTAAAGAAAATGGCAAAAATGAATCGATGATCTAAAAGGTTTTTTCATATTGTGATTCTAGTACCCCGACCGAGTTGTCTGCAGTTAAAACAAATGGATTAACACGATGAGCAAATCACGGATATGAGTAATGACCATTTATATATTTGCAGACGTTCCGAACTCTAATCGACCGCCTCCGCGGTGTAGTGATATAACGTCCGCCCGGAGAGCGGAAAAAGACGTTACAGATGGTAGTTGATCTTACCCTGCCTGGCGCTCGGCATTAAAGGACTAAAACAAGGACTGGTCGGCTCTGAGTCAGTATACTGTGTCTGAGTGGGGTATTCATGCTAAACTGTATATTGAAACATCTTCGTTTCTTTCTGTAAGTATAAATATATTTGAGTTTGTTACGTCATGTTCTGTATTTAAGTTAGTCCGGGCCCCGTTAATCCGGAAATCTTCTTTCCAAATGGTTACAAATGGGACATCCATATATAATCATAGGGATATTACTATGTACGTTTTTCAGAAATCGTGTTAATCAGAAATGTGTTCATGAACGAATGAATGAATGAATGAATGAATGAATGAATGAATGAATGAATGAATGAATGAATGAATGAATGAATGAATGAATGGGTGTCACACATAAACTACATGAGTTGTATACATCATACAAACATGTTTATATTTTTATTCAAGACAAGTATAGGTCGAGACACTATAGATTTAAACATATAGTACATATGTTTTCTATATTTTTAACATAACCATGAAATGTACAATAAGGGAAAAAATAGAAATTTGGTAAATTTACTTGATTAAGCAAAGTCTAAAAAGCGTTTTCGCGAAGCATACATTTTAAAACACATTTTGTCTAAATCGGCGATAGATGAGGCATTTTGCCTTAATATTATATATTTTGCATCTTGTGTATTATTGACAAACAACCGCTGCTGCAACATGATAGCATTTTCCAGATTACTGGTTGGGCAACAAAGAAAACTTCAATGGTATTTCTTTAACACAACTTCACCTTCATCAAGGTACGTAACGGAAAAGGGGAATTGTTTTTTTAATTGAGCGAATGATTTCTTTCACCACTTTCATCCTTGTTCAAGAGGGACGGTCGGGTAGCCTGGTGGTTAAAGCGTTCGCTCGTCACGCCGAAGTCCCGGGTGCGAATCCCGACATGGGTACAATGTGTGAAGCCCATTTCTGTTGTCCCCCGCCGTGATATTGCTGGAATATTGCAAAAATCGGCGTAAAACCATACTCACTCACTCACTCACTCACTCACTCCTTGTTCAAGAAACATCACGACGGATAAGACCAAGAATTTGCATACGTTGCAGATCCAGCTCAAACAAGCTGTATCCGCGCTTGATTTTATATGTTGTACCCACGATGGGAATCGAACCTGGGTGTTAGGAGTGACGTGCGGACGTTTACCACGAGACAACTCACCACCTCTCATTCTAAATGAAAACCCGAGTTTATCAATATCAACTGACCTATATACTGGCATACACAAAAAACTCAGTTCACGTGGACGTGGTATGTGTCTCGGTTAAAACAGGTTAGGTGATGTTTGACATTTATGTAACATTCTTTACAAATTTGTGACGCCTCAAATATCTGGTTTAGACCGAAATAAACGCCGAAAACAATTCCCTTTTTTTCAGTCTGTCCATTTCAATAAAACGTCCATGATGTGAAACAGGAAATCGAGACATTTATGCAGTGGCAACATACCTCACACTTGTGAGGAAGAAGTGTATATTTAACGCTGACCTGCGTTGGCACCACACAGAGATGGGTTTTGTGATATGCAAACTAAATAATTTGAAGAGCTCGAAATGGCTACAAACAACCTTTAGTTATAGGAGGGATGACAAGATAGATTCGAATTTCCGTACTTGCGCTGTGACGTGATATGTCGACTGACGCTTATGTAAATTCACCTTGATATTGTCAGCGTGAACCCGCACACTGTCGGGGATGTTTATTCAGAATAAGTAATCGATACTTTAATTTATTAGAAAAAACATATGTCACAATCGTTTATTACAGTTTAACCTCGTTATCCCGGACAGACTTGTGTCCCAGGTGAAATCGTCCGGTTTAATTACGTTATATGGTTTAAACAGAATTTGTCTGGAGTGACTGAGTGCGTGAGTATGGTTTTACACCACTTTTAGCAATATTCCTGCAATATCACGACAGAAGACACCAAAAATGGGCTTCACACTTTCTACACATGTAAGGAATCGAGCCCGGGTCTTCGGCTTGACGAGAAAATGCTTTAACCACTAGACTACCCCAGAATCGTCTAGAATAAAGGTTCCAAGACTAACGGGGCTTCACTGAAAGTTTTACTTAATGTCTTCAACACCATTAGGTAGCAAAGATCAAATTTCATCATTAAACATTTTTCGCATGCTTCTTGGTCAGTAAATGATAGTACCAATGTACATTGTGTTTGTTCTATTTTTAAGACACGTGTCATCATCATCATTGTTTTTGATAATTACATAAATGTGACACACGTCCACAAAGCCTATTTAACAATATTTTTCGCATCAGAATCATTGCACTGTGCCAGATTCATTAAAAAAGATACCCAAAATATATGTAGCGCCAAGATCAAAGTACAAATATGTGACACACAAAGGTTTTCCCATTACAAGAATGTAAATATTCAGGGAGAGCTAACATTAACATAACCCGTCTCTGTGATAACATCAGTAATTATTGTCTTATATAGGCTTTGTTGGTTGCGGGGCTAGAGGGCCAAAGTAGAGCAACACGCCATCCTATTCCATCGTCCCGATGACAGATAAAGAACCGCCCAATTCGGTTTCCTGGTATTATCTATAACAAGTCTTACTACTCATTGTCACACTGCCTTGAATCATTCCACGAGGCAATGGCAGGGTTAAATGCGTGTCGAGAGAAAAGGACCGCTCAGGCGAAACAGTCACTTTAAACACGATACAACATTGTTGGAGGTTATTGTGGTTTTTGAAAACAGGAAAAGGCTTCATGAAATGAAAGGTGACGTTTTTCCTTTAAAGTTTATAGTTTAGATATGTTTTTTTTTCTTTTGACATCATTTGAGTACATCCTCAGCGTGCGAAAAAGGTAAAGTAAGATTGTGTCTATTTAATGTGTGTTTTGGGTAGGGTGTTTCAAATTAAGTGTAATTAAATCTTTCTTTCTTTATGTATGTTGAACGCGTAGAAGAAGAGTGGCCTGTACGTTTTATAATAGTAGAAGTAGTATCGACATTGTCAGTGTTATCTGGATAGTTGTTATTGAAGAAGTAGTAGTGAAAGAACATGTACTTAGTGGACGTCGTCGTCGTCGTCGTAGTAGTAGTAGTAGTAGTAGTAGTAGAAGTAGTAGTAGTTGTTGTTGTTGTGTTTGTTGTAAATGTGGTCATGTTGTAGAAGTAGTAGTAATATTGATGGTATAATGGTAGTTGAATTGGTTGTAGTAGTAGTAGTAGTAGTAGTAGTAGTAGTAGTAGTAGTAGTAGAGGGGCGGCGCCGGCGGTGGTAGTAGTAGTAGTAGTAGTAGTAGTAGTAGTAGTAGTAGTAGTACACCGGTCGGTGTTGTACTTACAGTAGATGTAAAGAATGTGTAGCGATTGTTTAAGGTAATTGGTTGAGTATAACGTGTTAAAGTGACATAGTTTCCACCGTATGGCCAAGAAGGTGTCGTATCAATGCATAGTATTTCACTGCTCCCGGTCGTGGTGTATCACAAGGGTCTGTACCAGTGCTGACATTTATGTCACAGTTTAGGACTCGTTACATGTGTAATACTACCGTGACAAGATCAACTGTGATGACAAGCATATCTGTAATGGGGCCACTGGGTCAGCCGCCGTTAATAAACAGAGCATTGTTTTCCAGTCAAGTAACTTGCTGTAGAATAATTAGTTATTTTCAAAAATATTGATAAAGATTAAATGTTATAATTGGGTCAATGTTAAGTTTTCAATTTATTCTTCGAGGAAGTTAATGCATTATAAAGTAAAAACGTTGTGATAAAGATTTTAAGTTTTATTCTAGATATGTCATTTTTTTATTCGAGACAGTCACTGTTGTAATAAATTCATTATTTAGTAAAAATTATTTTGATAAATATTTGTTTGTTTTATTCTAGATATGTGAACATTACAATTTTGTATTTTTTCAAGATTTCTTAAATTCAAGATAGAGTATCTGTAAGTCGTATTGAAATTATAACGTTTGTTTAATCAACTTATCTTACAATGACCTTTATGTGAACATGAAAGCGTGGAGTTTATTTTGTAAACAATATTTTGTTTCTCTGAAAACATAACCATATTTAGAATAAACAAATAACAAAATGATAATGAGGAGACCGAACCAAGGCTATATTTTTTAAATCGTATTTCTTTTAAGTTTTCATTTGACACAACACTTCAACATGAAGAGAATAAACCATTAGCGACGCACCGAGTGTCATGTCGCGGGACGGAGATATATAACACGAATGTGTTGTAAATATGCTTAACTCGGCAAATATGTCACTTGGTAAAATGTTAATAAGCATTATAAATCTCCCACTGTGCAACACAAGTTGTATACCAAGTTATGTTAAATAATATACTACATATTCAACATCCCCATCAAAAACTAAATGCGTACGACGCCTAATAAAAACGTGTTTCAAAAGAACCTTGATAACACCATGAAGACAAGATATATATGCCCAAACCAAAATATTTATCCCATGATACTGTGGCACTGTTATTAGTCAGAATCAGAATCTGGCAATGTACTCTGATTTTAAGGATAGGTTTTTATGTTGCTTTGTGTATGGGGGCACGGCATTTTTCATGGTAAACAAAAAGTATAGTCTCTGACGTTCACAAAAATCTTAATATCCTTGCTAACGTTTTGTTTCATATAGATGTAAATGTAACATTATTCTAATTTTAACTTTCCCATATAAGTTATTAAAATAGGGTAGTCAAATGCCTATCCAAATTATTCTGTGTGAGTCCGTTCCTACTAGAAATACCTTTACCTACATGAACAGACAACGGGTCAAAGAGAACAGGGTACTGTAGTGATACTGGGTATTTCAAACGTAATATTTTGCCGAGGTAACATGTAGCGAATACTGTGAACGCCCTTAGTCCGGACCCCGCTACTCCGGAAATCCCGCTTTCCTAACGATTCTGCTTGGATCATCTACTGTATAGAGAATATTACGCTGTTTAATCCACGTATTCGTTTATCTGGCTGAATTCATTGAGAACAGTACCGTTAGGTTTAAAAAGATTTCACTGCAATAATATTTATTCTGAGCCATACTGGGGACGACTGACGTTACCTAAGGTATCAAGATTCTGTCAGTTTTGTTACTACAGAAACGTGTAGCGAAAATATGTTTGAAATATGTTTTCCAGAATTCTCGAAAGAAAATGGGTTAAAAAAACTCGGAAACACAAGGTCGTCTTTTAGGTGCGGGCAAAGTTCTTCACTTTAACAGGACAGATAAAAGAAAATAAGCTTACACTCAAAACGCTCCCAGTTCGTATCTTCCTGCTTTCGCGTGTTCTGCTTTGTTTGGACATTAAAGTAAACTGAAGTCTGACATCTTCAATCCACCTAGTATCAAGACGCTGTCAGGAATGTTTATCGCGCTAGCATTAACAACATTGCAGGTGTAAGGTACGAGACACAGCAGAGAACACACATTAACATGATAAACGTTTTAAACGTTGCCAGCTTCTAGACCTTCAAGTTGTACACTTTTTCTCAGTGTTGAGAGATGGTCGAGGATTGTGTGAATGATCTGATGTAGTGTATTGCTGAAGAAAGGACTGGTTCTCTTTACGTTGTGAGTGTACGCTTGGAGGAGTGGATGTATCAATTGTACTACTGCAGAACAGGTCGTGAGCATTGTTGGATTATTCCAGTGAACAGTGAACAGCATGTGCCTCCTCCTTGTTGCATAAATGCGTTACTTCCTTGAGTACCAAAGAACTTTTGTTTTGAGTAATTTTGCAATCTGTAGCAGGCACAAATCTTTGCCATATTTGCATTCATGTTTAACCTGTAGCAGTAGCAAGGGTAAGATTGGGTATATTTGAGGTCAGGAAAAGGTGTGCCTTCTTCTGGAATGTGCTGTTTGTTTGTTTGTTTGTTTGTTTGTTTGTTTGTTTGTTTAACGCTGCAGTCAGTATTCCTTCTATATGATGACGCCCCCGAAAAAAATCGAGTCTGGATCAGGCAATCCAGTGATTAGTAATAAGAGCAACATGTGTCATAAGTTGGAATACGATGGCGACACCTAATCGACAGCACACGAGGTCAGCGATCTGACCTGCTCAGCCATTTGACGCATCAGTGACAAAATTGATGTCCGATGCAATTCCCTATGTTGACTTGTACCATATGTTCCCGTGTTTTTTCAGGTGAACAATTGACTTGCATTTGCATGTGTTTGTGACGCGTGTCAGGGTGGGGCAGGATACGCTCACTGTTTCGCGAACACCTGGTATCATTACTATTTGATAGAGATTCATAAACACATGCTCATGATAAAGTCGGAATCGTACAATCGACTCTGCTTTATGCAAAAAAATTCTATTGGATATGGAAAGGGTTTTGTCGCTTTATTTACATTTGACCACTTTCTAAAAGACATTGTGTGTTCATCGTTGGATATACTTCTCGAAGTGTATGAACAAGTTTGATGTGCACATTGTCCTGTTCCTCAATGTATGGACACACCTGGTGTAATCTTTACACGTCAACAATGATTCTGGAGTACCTTTAGGCATGCATTTGTCCTAATTCTGGTTAGACGTGTTTCATTTCCATGAAGCGGGGATATGACAATGGGTACCCTTAATACTCCGACGTATGACGGAGATATTTCGTGGCGTTGTATGACACCCGTATGGTGATGTTGCAGCCACAGAGACGTTGCTGAGGGTGATGCTGCTGCAACTGCTGCTGGTGTTACAAACTGTTTTCGGCCTGACCAACAGTGTAGAGCTACGGTGGTGGAGATACCAGCGCATACAAAAGAAAAACAGAACTTGTAAGACATTATGACGTCATTGCAGTGATTACGCTAAGGGTGACTAAGGCACGACTTGGATAACAAGTTAGTCGAATGAGTGAGTGAGTTTAACGGCACTCTTAACGGTATTTCAGTTATATCACGGCGTGTCAGCTTAAGGTGGGGTTTCTCGAATTGATCCTTTTTCATTCGACTCTACATGGCTGAAAATATTGCCGATGTGACGTAACAACCTCACTCACTCACTCGCTCTACATGTGCAGCCGAGATACGAATGTTAATCCTATTGGGGCACTGTCGCTGATCTATCTACAACGTTATTGTGCTCACAATATTCAACAGTGCCTTCATGAATGGCACTTGTAGTTTGTTGTCTTTTTGTATAATGCATTTAAAACTAATTCATTTTCGGAGCGACAATACATTTAGATTATTTTGCTTTAATTGACAAAATTTTGTTTTTAATTTTAGTATTTTCAGCATGTTGAAGATCAAGATTGTCCTGAATTTAACGGGAGGGTTATCTTTTCTTGTCTTAACTCAACCGCCATATTGCTTTTGAGTTTGAGTTAGCGCTCTGCCCACGGGGAAGAAAATCGAAAAAAATGTAGTCATTCTGAAAAGAAGATTTTGAAGAAATATTTTGTTTCTTCAGGGAACAATGTAGTGGACATAATGGTAAATCCGATTTAATGTACAAAAATACATATGATCATTTATTTTCTGCTGTAGACGACGATTGTAACGTGGAGGCGAAGGCGTTTCGTCACGGGCAGGTGTTCGTGTTGGAAAGGACGGGGCCATGCGTAAAATACAGATGCCAGTATGGCGGCTACAAAGTCATCAACCACGGTACAGTTGTTCATGTTAGGGGTAGAACAGGTCTTCACCACTCCAGCAAAAGGCCACTATGCTTGTTGTAAGAAGCCACTAACGGGATCAGGTGGTCAGGCTCGCTGTCTTGGTTCATAAATGTCATCTATCCCACTTGCGTCGATCGATGCTCCTGATGTCAATCACTGGATTGCCTGCGCCATACTCGATTATTTATAGACAGTCGTCATATAGCTTGAATATTGCTAAGTGCGGCGTTAAACAACAAACAAACAACAAACCAGTTTTATACGTAGTTTGAGCGAGTTAGCTTGATAAAACCTGACATTGAACAACAAGGATTTACATAGGTCTGTATATTTGCGAGTTTAGACATTTTCGGTAATGTTAGACATTTTTTTCGTTTATATCTTCATAAACGCAAATATGTTAAAGTCATGAGTTATCGTCCGTTTACCTTTCATTCATGTAGCATAATGTTTAAACGGGATGTGTACAACAATGTCGCAACGATACAAAGTATGTTTGCATTTATAAAATGTTTAGGAGAAAGTCATCTCAGGATAAATCGAAGTTGGATATATTGACTTTTAACAAGAGTATCCAATTCAATAACGAATTACACATTTTTTTTAATTAACAGAATTCAAGGTTCAAATTATCTGAATACCATATGCACTATGTGAACGTCCTAAAGAGTTTCGACCCGTGAAGATTCCGGGGTAGAATAGGTCTTCAGCAACCCATGCTTGCCGTAAAGGTGACTATGCTTGTCGTAAAAGGCGACTAACGGGATCGGGTGGTCAGGCTCGCTGACTTGGTTGATGCATGTCATCGATCCCAATTGCTTGGATCGATGCTCATGATTTCAATCACTGGATTGTCTGGTCCAGACTCGATTATTTACAGACCGTCGTCATATAGCTGGAATATTGCTGAGTGCGGCGTTAAACAATAAACCAACCAACCAACCTAAAGAGTTTCATTTATAACGTTGGGTGTCAAAGTCAAGTCAAAGATGTTTATTGTATCAAAGGCCATCGGCCCATATACAAGTTCAGATAAATACAGTGGGTGAGAATTTACAGATTGGGAGATACAACAAAAATTATATAAATATAACATTCATTTAACAATCGGTGATAATCATGAGGACTTTCTAGGGTGAGGTAATTAAAATTATGAATTTCCACTCAACATGTTATTTCGTAGTTCCATCCCATGTTTTACAAATAAAGACAGTTTAAACATTACATCGGCATCATTCGATGACAAAATAGAAACAAAAGCTATTCTACTTGTCTTAGATAAGAAACATTCTGGTATATATTTAGTACGTAATTCTGCATAATAAGGACATTCAAAGGTAAAATGTATTTCGTCTTCTATTGCAGAGTTACAGAATGGACAAATTCTTTGTATTCTTTCAAGTGATATATTCCGTCCATAGTTAATCATAAGTTTTGACAAGCCAAGTCTGTATTTAATATATCCATTTCTTAGGTGACTATTTGTTAAAACTGATAGATATTTTTCTGGCTCTAATAGAGTCTTAAATGTTCTGTACAAATCATAACGTGAACTATTTTCCAAGTTGCATTGCCACCCTTGATAGAACATATTTATTGCTATTTTACGAAAATCATTTAGAAATAAATGTTGATCACCAACAGATTGGTTAAGCCATATATACCCATATCCATGTGAGAATAATAGTGTCCTAATATGCGATACCCATGTAACCTTACCGATACTATCTAAATGAAAGAGCATGTTATAAGCTTTTTTCGGAAGCCGATGTTCTGGCATACGGATGATATTAAACCAATATTTTAAACACTTTATTTGTGAATTAATGTAAAGTGGGTATCTTCCACATTCTCCATATATCATATTATTTGGTGTTGCTATTCCAACGCGAAGAAACTTTTTACATGCCAGTAGGTGAATTCTTTCTAAACATTCATATCTTCGGTAACCCCACACTTCAGATCCATACAATAAAATTGGCTGTATTTGAGTATCAAATAATTTGAAAAATACTTTTGGAGTAATAACTCCAAGTTTATGTGAAACAGACATTATATTAAGTAAAGCTCGTTTCCCTCGCAGTGATAAGTCAGATACACATTTGTTCATATTTAGTGTTGAATTAAACATTGTGCCGAGATACTTATAACCATTAACTACATTAATTTGTTGTCCATTTAAGTACCATCTTTCCCTAAAATTTAAAGGACCCCCTTTTCTGAATACTATAATTTCTGTCTTATCTAAATTTACAGATAAATTCCATTCCTTAGTATATTTATCTAATACATTCAACTGATTCTGTAGACCAATAACAGTGTCAGATAGTAAAATAACATCATCGGCAAAAAGGAGCATAAGAAGTTCAAGGATGTCAGGATACATCTGTATACCATGCTTGCCGTTACTTGAGATTTCATAATATAATTCGCTTATGAAAAACGAAAATAACAGAGGACTCAGTATACATCCCTGACGTAAACCAGATGGGCAATCGATAAAATCAGTAACACCATAATCACTACGTACACATGACTTGATATTTGAATACATTGATTGTATTATATTAAACATCTTCCCTTGTAGTCCAGCTTTTCTTAAACAACACCATAATTTATAACGATCAACTGTATCAAATGCCTTTTTAAAATCAATAAAAGCAACGTAAACCTTGTGTTTACGACGTGTTAGACATTTTTGAATTGCAGCATATAATGTAAAAATATGATCTACGGTTGAATAATTTTTTCTAAAACCAGCTTGAACTTCCGGTATCTTATCTCTCATATTTGCCCAGTTAGTAAGCCTGTTATTCAAAACAGAGGTAAAAATTTTCCCCAGAACACTCATTAATGAGATCCCCCTGTAGTTATCAGGGTTTCTCGGATCGCCTTTTTTATGTAGAAGGACTATTTCTGAACAAGACCAACTGTTTGGAAATATTTGATTATCAAAGAGTTTGTTGAAACATTTATGAAGAAATGGCATAATATCTAATTGGGAACATTTAAGCATTTCTATCAGCACTTGATCGGGCCCGGCGGATTTTCCTTTTTTTAACTTATTTATTGATGATGTAATTTCATGTTCAGTTATCGTAGAATTTAGTATGAATGCATCAATATCTGTAAACTGATTAGAACTGAGTTCATTTTCATCATCTAAGTGAGGAGAAAAAACATTGTCATTTTCAAAAACCTCTCTAAAATGGCACAGCCATTCTGCTTTCGTTATATGATTCTTCTGTCTGGGTTTGTTTTGTAATGATCTTATCTGTTTCCAAAAGCTAGATTGACTATTTATGCTTCTATGCAATCTTTCAACTGATTTCTTACGTGAAATGGATTTAAATTTTCTGCAACAAAATTTATAATGATTTCTTTGTCTACAGTACACAATTCTGTTAGCGACTGTTCTTTGTGTCAAAATGGTTTGCTGGTTGTATGAAACGTATTTTGTATAACAAACCAATGCCTGTTGATACTGACAGGTTCTCAGTGCCGGGAGGGACGACGATGCTGGGACCTTCACTCCTACAGAACCAGTGTGTGTACACTAGAACAGTGCCTGGAGATTGATGGCCGGGTCAGGTTCGTCGTTGTTGGTGAAGGTACCCTGAGAAGTCCTCTTTCTTTTCTTTGATACGTGGTTTTACATACGCGGATCTGGAAGCGTGTACCCTCTTTTTTTAAAGCATACTAAACATTTTTACATTCGGAAATGGTATAGGTGGTCGGGTATACTAAAGGAAATAGTTTTACAATACTTTGACCAAATTCATTTGATAAATGTATATATAGTTTCGACAAAAGTACACGATTACTGAACGGTAATTGTCACATTAAAAAATGCATCCCTCATTTTCCAAAAAACTGTATCCGCGCTTGAAAACGTATCGATGTAGTATCAGAAAAAATGTAATATCTTAAAAACTTTGAATAAAAAACGATCATGTGATATTATAGATGATTACGTTATGATAAATGTGGTAGATATTGACCCGTTTGGCACCATACAAAGACTGACATAATTATATGTACATGATCGGGGGTAGAATAGGCCTTCATCAACCCATGCTTGCCGTAAAAGGTGACTATGCTTGTCGTAACAGGTGACTCACGGGATCGGGTGATCAGGCTCGCTGACTTGGCTGATGCATGTCATCGTATCCCAATTGCGTGGATCGATGCTCATGATGTCAATCACTGGATTGTCTGGTCCAGGCTCGATTACTTACAGACCGCCGTCATACAGCTGGAATATTGCTGAGTGCGTGAGTGCGGCGTTAAACAACAAACAAACAAACATATTCATGACAGCTGGGACCCGTAATGTATTACCGCACAAAACATACATCCTTAAGACAATTACATCTTAGTGTATTGAGGGGCGGTCGGGTAGCCTAGTGGTTAAAGCGTTCGCTCGTCACGCCGAAGACCCGGGTTCGATTCCCGACATGGGTACAATGTGTGAAGCCCATTTCTGGTGTCCCCGGCCGTGATATTGCTGGACTATTGCTAAAAGCGGCGTAACACCAAACTCACTCACTCACTTAGTGTATAGAAATAATGAATAATTTCACATTGCAAAGATATATATTTATTGAGTTTGTGACGAACTATCGTTGTCCCCTCTCCCAGGCTGTCAGTTTGAGAGGAAGTGCTACAAGGTAGGCACCACCTGGATACACAACTGCTACCTGTATATCTGCAGAAAGGAGGACATGCACATGGGCGTGGTCTTCAAGTCCGTGCTGCTCGGGGGACGTGAGTCAGCTTCATATACTAAATGTTTATAACTTCATTTTTTCTATTTCCATATATTAACATAGTTTACATGAAAAAAAAATAATTCAGTATTATAATTATTTTTTTCACGATCGGGCCACGGGGATACAGTCGTCTAATGCACCGCATTTCGCTGTGCAGAGTTGCGTCCCTTGGAAACGCCAAAAAGCTATGGTTGTTGGTTATGTTTCTAGGTTTGTCAACACCATTCCCTTTCTCGTGGGTTTCACCGAAGTGGTAAACGTCTGAGACCTGCGGGGCTTTCCCACATTAAGCTGTCACGCCGTGATATAACTGGAATACTGTTCAAAGCGACGTTAACCCCAACTCACTCACTCACTTTTTTTAAGAACATATTTTACGCCCGTTGCAATATATCATGTCCTTAATTCATTTTACTCCCTTTACCATTTTTGTAATTTGGATATTTTCTGTTCTTTTATGAATACATGGAGGGAATATTACATCCTTTGTAAATTGTTCTCTTTATATCATTTGATTATTTTACATCATTTAGGAATAATTAAATTGTCCTTATTATCTGCAATCCATTTTACGTCTTTTATAAATTATGTATTATTTACACTTTTCATTATCACATTTTTATCCTCATCAAATAATATCCCTCAACGCATGTGTAAAAACAATGAATATCTTCAGCATTTTTTACGAATTATTTTATTATTGTCAGTAATATCCATGAACATTTACATTCTTTACAAATTATATTTCATTATATTCTTTACTGATCAACATAATTTAATGCTACAACGCTCTGGCTGAAAATATAACACCGTGTACTATTTCTATTAACGTTTAACGAGCATTTCGTAATGAATTTACTCACCGCTGTATTTGTTATTATCATCTACATGTTATATCAAACAACATCGTCATGCAAAATTCCATTATAATCCATCCTTTCTTTAAATATTTACGGTAGCGTTTAAAGCCACTTTTAATATCAATCTTAACAATATTTAGGTTACACCATAGCGTCTATTTAAACGGCGTCAAACCCAACACACTCACGCACTCACTTATATATCCTAACAATACGTGGACAGCCTCTGTGGTCGCTATGTAAGTGCAATAATCTTTGACGCGACGTTGAACCCCATTTCACCTCGCCTCACCACAAAATATGTTCGTTATCCAGGTTGCCGGGACGTTTACGGCGACTGCCATGACGCCGGGACGTTCTTTCACTACAGGATGGGCCGAACCCTCTACCGCTTCTGTTCCTGCAAGGTCAGGGGAGGTAATATCCAGTACGACTGTTTACCCTGATCCGCTGTGTTGTACTGTTCTATACACTGTTGTTGTTATTAAATATTTATTCGTTATCAAGCTTGTTGTTTTATCATTGTACACAATGAAGTAACAAACAAGACTTAGGGAAGGCGACTTTGGATAGTGACTGGTCGTCGGAACACGATTGGTCCCGTTTGTTTATATGATTTTACTCATGGAATGAAATACGGGAACGGCCAAAACGGAAAGGTACTTGCAATGCAGGGTAAGTTGAACCAACTCGCGAAACGCGTTTGAGACAAGAAGACGGTGCACAGGATATGGACAACATGCTTGGTTTGTGACAGGTAGAGAGGGTGTACGCATGTTTTTCATTTTTACAGCAAATGAATTCCCTTCGTTGTCACGATACTTCTCAGTTGTTGTTATCTATGCAAATTTGCTGTCATCGTTTTCACAGCCACCGGTACCTCACATCAGCACGTAGTATTATTTGTGAGTGAATGAGTGAGTATGGTTTTACGCCGCTTTTAGCCATATTCCAGCAATATCACGGGGGGGGGGGGGGGGGGGGGGGGGGACAGAAATGGGCTTCACACATTGTACCCATGTCGGGAATCGAACCCGTGTCTTCGGCGTGACGAGCGAACGCTTTAACCACTAGGCTACCCGACCGCCCCCGTAGTAGTATTATGTGCTTTTGAACTCCCCACTAGAACTCGTTGTTATCCGAGAAAGGACATGCACATATCCATCGTACTATTTGTCGCGGACCATCCGCTACCCCTTTCTTCACAATGGTCCGCACCAGTGGGCGGAACTCATACATAATCATACGGGGTTAATTGTCAGGTCATATCTCAACTTATCCTTGCTCTGCAGTATGTAGGACGAGGTGGTATAAGAGCCGTTTTGGATCCACAGAATCTGCATAATAATAGAACTGAGAAAAATAGCATATACATTGGTATGAAACTTATCTGATCTGTTCACATATGAATGAGATATGGAGACTTTGTTTATTCCAACAATTACATGTTTGTAACTTTTGACAACGCAAAATGCATAGATAAAGATAAACTCTGTTAAAATGCTGATTTTAGAGGCTTCAAGGAAGCGTTTTCTAAATTATACATTTAAACATGAGCAAGTCTTTGACCCCAGCTAATTTCCATAGGACATGTTGATAAAAACAGTTCAAATATGTGATAAAAAAACTCATTTGTTGTTCGCAAATTCTGACTTTTTCACTCCTTTAAACAATATTTATATATTTGATCAAGTCAAAAGTCCAAAAGTAAAAAGGAAGCAACCATTTTTACATGTCTGATAAATTTTATACAAATATTTGAAAGTTTTTCCGAAACTTTAAAATTTGATCTTTTCCGTTGGGCCAAAAAGGGCTTGTTACGACGTAAATTGTAATAAAAAGGTAAATTGTAATACTTGCAGCAAATTGTAATAATTTTGACGTAAATTGTAATAACAACGTAAATTGTAATAAAATTTGACGTAAATTGTAATACGCAAATTGTAATAAAAATTGACGTAAACTGTAATAATCTCAACTTGCGGTAAAATGTAATAACTTTTTACGTAAATTGTAATATGCTTATAAGTTACAATCGTCATTAAAGTATGGGTGTGGGGGAGGATTGAGGTCGTTATCGTACATTGTTGTATAATTATATGTATATATAAACGCATTGGAATTTCATTTCTATGGTTGTCCAGAAAAGGATTTATTACTAGATTGAACTTAGTTTTCTTATTTATTTGAGAAATACTCCTTGTGTTTTGTACTTAATTGTAATATATATATATCCTATTGACGATTTTCATCATAATTGTTCATATTTAACCTAATGGAATCATATTTCAATTGGTAAAGCAGGTAGTAATATACACAATGGAATAATTATAACGTAACAAACTTACACAAATATATTGATGTGTAAATGTGGAAAGTCTGACTTTTACTGACTGAAGCAAATTTATTTATTTTGCAACTGTATATTTGTACATCTTTTATGCGGAGAGGGGTTTACTAAGTTGCAAGAACTTGCCCCCAATAAAATTCTGATTTTGTTCTGTGAATAAAATATGTTTAAACTAAACTAAACTAGCAAATGGATGACATGTCATTCTGCAGTAGTCTGTGTGCAAGCTGATTTATACATGTTCACATACATAATATCAATTTATTATTATTCAAGTTTCAATTTTTTTTAACGTTGCTCGGAGGATGTAAAGCAAATAATGACAATGTCCTTGGCGATGTACATGTAGGTATCTGAACCCGCAAGGACTACCTTTATCAATTATTTTACGTGCAGCTTGTGTCATGTCTGTATTGTTAGAATGATACTCTAGCAACTGTACACATCGAAATTTATGACTGAAAGATCAATCCTCGGGTTAAAGATGATGGATTACATTAGGTACGTCTATTCGACAAATAGGTTAATTGATTTATCATCCAATAGTAGCTTAGCTAGGCGTCCATCGCAATAACGTTGAGTTACGAGTTACCGAAGAGAGCTCTGTGCAACCGGACCCTGAAATTATGTCGATTTGCATTGGAGGTTTACTTAATTTGGTAAGGAGCACATGACCGTTTCCTTGAAACAAACGAGACAATTCAATCGTATTTATACATTATATTTTGACAAAGAATTCAAATTTCAACAAATGAGTGTCAGATCTCCTGTGCAATGTCAAAGGAAAAAAAACAGTCGTCAGCAAATGCAGCATAGATTTCCCATGCATGGGAAAGGAGAATACTTAATACATAAAATTATATACCATGTTTTTATTAATATCAAAAGAGGGGCGTGGATATTCCTTACCTACATTGCATATACTATTAGGTATTGTGTACTCTCGATCTCTGTGAACTTCTCACAGATAAAGAAATAATAATAAATAAATGCAAACCATGTTAACTTATGCAATATTTGTAGCAATGTATGATTAACATATGGATCATTAATATAACATAAAATATTTCCTTTCATAGGAAGAAGTATATTTAATTAAATTAATGAATAAATGTACCTGTCTGGATTCCTTTCATATGTCATGAAGAACTAACAACAACTTACTGACAACTTTTGCTGGGATAATAACTCCTTGCCCAAACAACAAAAACAGAATCCATCATGATAACGGCACGAACTCATAATTCAAAGCATACACAAATAATATCCGGTATCTTCGGGCATGTCTTGTTGAGTTTCAAAGAGCATCAGAATGTATAATAAATTTGTTGCAATCAATTATTGCTGAAATATATCTGTTTTGATCAAAATTGAAAGGATGGAAAATCTATCATGAAAAGGGTTTTGTCACGGACAAAAATTACCTCAGAGGATAATCTTCTCGGGGGGTTTAAGAGGATTAAAATAATTCCAGCTAACAGCAAGCACTGTAATAAAATATTGAAATTATGGCATACCTTCTTAACAATGCAATGAAAAGAATAGTGACTAACTAAGAAACCAAATTATATTTATCTCCGATACTATGCCCTCATCAGTATACACACACACATACATATAAACATACACACAAACACACATATACACACCAACACACACACATAACAACACATACACACATAGGTATGTATGTGTGTGTTTGTGTGTGTTTACGTATGTATGTATGTATGTATGTATGTATGTATGTATGTATGTATGTATGTATGTATGTATGTATGCCAGTAAATACGACCTCTAAATGTCATTGGTATCAGATCTATGACTGCACTTCTTCATATAGTTCAAAGTGAAAGATGAGTGACATTACTTTGTGAGAGGTCCCACAAAAATGCTGATACGAGCAATTAAAGGTTATACAAAATGAAGCAAATGAACAAAGTAAGATACGAGCTCGTATTTTAAAAGATAAAATAGAAACACAAACCTGTAGATATACTCCGAACAGTTGGAGTACATATATATACAAAGGTACAAAACTGTTTAGGGAAGTTTGGTACAGCATTTATCGTACAATCGTCATTAAATATGACTTAGTGTGGGGTGTGAGAACTTTTTGAAACTTGATATATCGAACATTGTTGTATATATATAAACTCACTGGAGTGTTATTTCTGTAAGTTAAGTAAGTGGTTATCAACACAATGTATTTATTTATAAAAATATATGTTTAGGATGCTTTCCTTGAATTTAAAGTGTGTTAGCCGTAGTTGAAAAGAGCGATTCAGCATGAAACCAAGTTTGAAATGGGGTAAAACAGTTGTTACATAGTGTATGAAATACCCTCTGAAGACATATATTGCAGTCTCAAATTAAGAAGTTTTAACTCAATTTCAGAATTTTTTTTATAAGGGTAGGCAATTAGAACAATCGGAGCAAAATATAATTTGACTTTTTGGTAAGTTAACAGTCATTTCATTGGAATTTTAAGAGAGTATGTTATTACAGTGCTTGATGTTAGCCCAAATTACTTTAATCCTCTTAATCTTTCAGAGGAGGTTATGTTTTCAGGGGATTATTGTACGTATATATTTCGTATCAAGGTTTCTTGGCGCAATCCACCAACGATTGTCGAGTTTAATGATCTTCAAGTACGTTTCAAGGTCAAAGAGAAAATTTACTTTAGTGACAAACATATTTTCATTATTAATTTTCAATTCATTTCCATTTGGATACAAGCAGATATATTTCAGCAATTGATTGCAAGAAATTTATGATAATTCGTATACTCTTGCAAACTGTACAAGAGTTTTCCGAAGATACCGGATGTTATTTGTGTATGCACGGGATCTGTCAACTCATTTGTTGTATTTGAATTCTTCGTCAAAATATAAATATGATTAAATTCCCTCGTTTGTTTCAAGAAAAGGATCATGTACTCCTTATCAACTCGTATAGCGTTTCCACTGCAAATCGACACACTGGTTGATCAGCCTGTGTTTGTACACTTCGTCATCACTCGTTCAGTCGTGTCGAACTGGTCAAAGTACTGTTGAAGCAAGTCATGCAAAAAACATCTTGAATAGCCTTATAAGAGTATTGAACAATATGTCACAATTAAGTTATTTGTCGAATATACGGTTGTGTAACCCATC